AAATAGTGTGAAAGTCTTCTAAGAGTAAACAAAAGGACAAAGATAGATAATATAATATAGAATGCATAAAAGATGAAAGCGCATTTTGGAAGTTCCAACATCTGACTGATGGGAATTTTAAGGAGCACACACAAAACACAGAGTTATTAATGAATTGTTACAAGAGAAGTTCCCAGAAAGATCCTGAAAGCATGTGCAGGGCGGGGTTGGGGGGCGGTGGTACTTGTGGTGGTGCAGGAGAGAAAGAAAGTGGGATCACTTCCAAGTGAAGGGGACAGAGTGACAGAGTGACGTTGGATTCAGCGGCAACACGGATGCTAGAGGAAGTTAGAGCAGCGCCTTCAAAAGCTGAGGGAAGTTTTTCTACGTGGACTTCTCTGCCCCACCAAATTGAGTATAAAGGTGAAGACCTTTCCAGGCATGCAAGGGCTAGGTCACCTCCCGTGTACCTTTTCCTGAGTCAGTTTCTTAAGGTTCTGGGGATGTACTTCAGCAACACAGGGAGTGAACAAAGAAAGGGGATGTTCAGGAGACAATGGCTGTAGCCCAGAAAAGCAGTGAAGGGAAACACAGAAGATGACGGCTGTGTCAGGGGACCTAGCGGGCGGCCAGCCCGCCTGGAGTGGAAAGTGGAGGATGCTGGGCGGGCGCCTTCTGGGGACAGGGGCGGGGTGGGTTCCTGCTCCAGTGTCTAATATGATACAGCAGTTAGAGGAAACCATTGAAGAAGAAAAGAAAGAACTCCAGGGAAAACAAAGAATCTCTGAGGAAGGAAATATATTCATAATGTAGTACTTAACTAGTCAGTAGATAGCAATTACAGAGTCAGCCACTGTAGTACTGATTATTTATTCAACCAAAAATAGCAGTATATCTACTTCAGAAGAGTAGAGGGAGGAGGTTTTGGGGTAGTTTCAGAATTACAGCCTAATCTACCATAGCCTGAGTAAATAGGGAAATCTGAAATGGATAAGCCAGAAAGCTGTAGAATAAGGACAGTATTTCAAGAAATTCATGAACTATCTGGAAGAAACAGAGTTGAAATTAGTTCCCTCTAGGGGTTAAGATTGGTATGGGGAGTATGACACAGACAGCAGGTAGGTGGGTTTTCATTACAGTCTCTCAGTACTGTTTGATTTTCTGAACACAGACAAGAATTACTTGGATAAAAATTAAATTATAAATTCAAAATACTAAGTAATATGTGCCCATTGTAAAACACCATATAAAAAAGGCATGAGTGGCAGTCACCGTAACTCCATTACTTAGGAATAAGTACTCAGGTTTTATATGTGTAGGTTCTTCCAAACTTGTATGTTTATTTTTAAATATATATTTAACATTCTGAGACATTTTTACAGTAATTATTTTACATGGCTGTGTTAGACCACACATATCTCACTTAAATATAGCATGGCTTTCTTCCCATACCAATCAGTCTACATCTTTGTCAGTATTTTTAATGATTAAACAGTATTGTTTTGTGCCAAATTTTATCCAATTAGGATATTTCTAATTCTTTACCATTTTTTTAAAAAAAGATTTTGTCTATTTTATGTTTAGAGAGAAGGAAAAGGAGAGAGAGAGAGGGAGAGAAACATCAATGTGAGAGAGAAACATGGATGGGTTGCCTCTCATATGCACCCTAGCAGGAACTACCCGAAGCCCAGGCATGTGTCCTGACTGGGAATCGAACCAGTGATCTTTTGGTTTGCAGATGGGTGCTCAATGCACTGAACCACACCAGCCTGGGCTCTTTGCCATTTTTAATCCCACATCTGTGGTAGATACCTTTAAAGAGGTGGCCCAAACTTGTTTAGCTAAGAATTACTTTCCACCTGGAAGGAAGACTGACAGTCATGTTATTCTCTGACCCTTTCCCACTGGATCAATCAGATAATCTCCCAGAAATTTGAAAATTAAGATTCATGTATGCTACATAGTCTCTGTTAAAGAGGATGTGTGCAGAGAAGCAGATCGGGGGCCATAAAGCCCCAGAGAAAGAGATTGAGAGAAACTGAAATTGACATTGAAGCCAACTTGGTTTCTGATGGCTAATAGTGATTCGTGCAACAAATATTTATCAAATGTCTTTTATGCCTGACATTATAACGAGTGGTAGGAGAAACAAGGTAGTCAGGTTCCTTGCTCTCTCACAACTTTTATTCTGATGAAGAAGCTGTAACAAAAAAGATAAATATGGAGCATGGTACAACTGTAAAAGAAATAAGTAGAATAAGTGATAGGGGTGGAGATCAGGGCAGGCCTTTTGGAGGAGGTGACATCTCCACCAAGACCTGAAGGGTAGGGGTGGCCAGACAGGATAGAAGCTGGGGGAAGCATTCCTGTGGGAGTTAGAGAGATGGCACCGGGAACAGTAAGTGTGAAGCGGTGGGGAGAAGAAAGAGCTCGATGTGTTTGAGGAACAGAGAGGAGTTTGGAGTGACTGCCAGGGAACAAGCTGGGGCAAGTTAGTTCGAGGTGAATGTGAGGATGCAGGGTGGAACCAGACCTCGTGAGGAGTTTGAACTTGAAATGTAGTGAAAGCTTTTGGGAGGCTTCAGCAGAGACGTGCCATGGTTTTATTTTAAAATGTCTTTTATGAGTCATAACTGTATTTCCTGCCCTTGGGCTTTTAGAAATCTTGTATCCTTGTGTTAAATTCTTTTTTCTTTCTTTTCGTCTTTTTTTTTTTTAATTCAAGCTGGTTTGAGTGGATTTCAACTGCAGTTACTTATACCCATGGAAACAACACCCTTGTTGCCTATGTACACAGTCTTCTCGCTTCACTGATTATTTATGTCCATTGGCCATTTTCTTGTTAAAAAATTTTCTCCTCACGTTGACTTGTTTTTATCGCTTTGTAAGGAATCTTTGTACGGTGTCAAGAGTAAACTTTTGTCTTTTGTATTTATTTCATTATTTTTCCAGTTAGATATTTGCCTTTTAACCTTGCCCATACTATTCTTTGATATTCAGAAGGAATTTTTAAAAATTAACAGCTTTACTGAGATAAAATTAATATAAAGTCACCCTGTTAAACTATACAACTCAATGATTTTTTATATACTCACAAAATTGAGTATTGATCACCCAATTCCAGAACATTTTCATCACCCCAAAAAGAAACCCCAAACCCATTAATAGTCATTCACCATTCCCTTCTCCTCTAAGCCTCTGGCAGCCACTAATCTACTTTCAGTCTCTGTGGATTTATATGTTCTGGACATTTAGAATAAACAGAATCATAAAATATGTGGCATTTTAAAACTGGCCTTTTTTACTCAGCGTGTTTTTAAGGCTCACTCACGTTGTGGCATCTGTCAGCACTTCACTCCTGTCATGGCCCAACAGTACTCCATTGCATGCATAGACCACGTTTGGCTCGGCCTTTGTCAGCTGAAGGACGTTTGAGTCGTTTCCACTCTTCAGCTCTAGTGAGTGATGCTGCGGAGAACATTTGTATACATACAAAGGTTCTGACTTGTATTTGGTCAGAACAGCGTTGCTCTTTTCCTTTGTAAAGATTGCTGTCTTTCTTGTGTTAGCAGAGCCTTCTCAATATAGTCCACGTAAATATTCACCTGTCTTATTTTTTTATGATTAAATTTTTCATTTTTAGTCCACATGAAAATTCATTTTGTTTAAGATTTGGGAAAAGCATATATAATTTTTCCCAATAGAATCACTAGATGCTCCTAGATAATTTATAAATAATTTATCATGCCTTTATAGATTTGAAACACTGTTTTCATCAGAATAAAAAATTTATGATAGGAAAATGTGTTTCCGAATTTTGTTTTATTCCGTTGATTCTTTTATATATTCCTGTTGTGGTACTCCGTTGTAATTTTGGTAACTTTAGATTTATGGTATCTTTTAAGATCTTTAAAGAGTATGCTTTCATTTAAAAAAATAACTGGGAATTCCCTTAAAAAAATACTATATATTTTGCCAACTTCTAGAAAGAAATCCAATGGGATTCTGGCCAAAGTTTTATTGAATTCACAAATTTAGAAAACAATTGTTAATTTTGAATATTCCCGTGCTACAATATGGTGCTTCCTTTATTCAGGTTTTCTTCCCTGTACCTTGTTCTATCAGTTATTTAGGTGTTTACTCTTGCTGCTCTTGCAAATAGGTCTCCCCACTGCCTCTTCCTCCTCCACACCTCCTGTGATAGTCTTAATTGTTTGTTTCATTAAGTTCGAAGGTTTTGCTTTTGGCTGCCAGCCTGCTTGTTGACTTTTTCATAATTGTCCTTGCTTTTGGTTGATTCTCTTGAGCTTCACATGAAGCAGACAGAACTTACCCGTAAAAACACATAATGGAAAGTCCTCTGAAGGAAAAGTTTAGTGTGTTAGAGGAACACATAACCTCATTTGCCTGCCGGGTGAGAGAGAAGGCATTTCTGAGGAAGCATCATTTAAACAGAAACCTGAAGACCGCAGTAGAATTGGCCAGAGAGAGGGGAAGAACTTCCAGACAGAGGGGATTTGCACGTGTGACTAATGCACTGGAGGCCCTGTGGGTGCAAGGAGCAGGGCCCTGTGGGTGCAAGGAGCAGGGCACGGTGAGCCCAGACGGGCAGCAGAAGAGGTGAGCGAGGCCCTTGAGGCCCCCGCGGTGAGTTCAGATCAGATGAAGGCTCGCAGAGTAAGCACTGGAGAGGGTTTTTGGGCAGGGGTGAAACGCATTCCAGTTTCCAGGTGCTTTGTGGGAAGTGGATTAAAGACAAACCAGCATGGGAGAGGAGGCCAGTAAGGAAGCAATTACGTAGTTTAGTTCAGCCTTGCTCATCTCGGACAAGGCTGTTACTAATGTCATCTGCTCACCTCAGCCCTTCAGTCTCTACAGAGAAACATGAAATGTTTATTGGATTGAAAATAAGTTTTATATTGGAAAATGTGGGACTTTGAATTTGCCATTGACCACTAGTAGGCTGTATTTTACTGCATGTTCGTAATTTCACAGAAAGCGTATATTGACGTGTTCGTTAGGTTTCCTATGTTATTCGAGATGAAGTGGAGAAGTACAATCGAAATGGGGTCAACGCCTTGCAGCTGGACCCAGCGCTCAACAGACTTTTCACGGCAGGACGAGACTCCATCATCAGGATTTGGAGCGTCAACCAGCACAAGGTGAGGCAGGATTGCACTAACATTTGAAATCTGTGCTCCATAAAATTTGGTCTGATAGGGCATACCTTTCATAGCTGGAGACGTGATCTCTGATTACTGAGGTATTTGGTACACCCTTTAAAGACACTGCACCCAGAATTCTATGAGCCTTTGAGAAAAACACCCCAGGGGAGTTTCAGAAGTGTTTTAGCTAAGGGAGGAACTCCATAAACTAGGCGTGCAATAAGAGTTCTCTGCTAGAAAGAAACGAAGAGATTTGTCTGGTAGGGGGACTATTCATAGCAATTTTTTTCTGCTTTAAATGTGTTCCCCAAAAGCTTGGCAAGCATTACCACTGTTGCTAAGAAAAGGTCGACTGTGCTTTTACATTTATAACTAACCTTGAACAAATATTTGATTTCTTCATTTAAAAGTGATTAGGATGCCCACAAAACTCATAAGAACTTATTTGGTAATCCAAGGCAGGTGTAAAAGTATGAAAGCAAAACATACTCCCCTTCTTTAGGAGACTTAAATCTGACTTTACTTAAAGAAGGACCAGGATTTCAGTATATGTAAAGATAAATGCCCCTGGCTGGTGTAGCTCAGTGGATTGAGCATGGGCCTGCGACCAGTCAGGGCACATGTCTGGGTTGCAGGCCAGTTCCCAGCAGGGTATGCACGAGAGCCAACCATACACTGATATTTCTCTCCCTCTCCCCTTCCCCTCTAAAGATAAGTAAATAAAATCTTTAAAAAATGTTTTTAAAAAGATAAATGCCCTGTCAAATGGCAGTGAACTCTCTTTATACTTCGTTTAAATGCCTGTATTGTGAATGACATGAAAAGGAAGATTCAGGGGAGGAAAATGACATTTATTGAGCTCCTGGCTGTGTACCATACACTCTTAGCACTTTCATATCCAGCATGGTCTTAATTTTCATGATACTCCTTCAGGGCAGCTCTTATGTTCATGTGCACGGATGGGAAACAGGCTCAGAGAAACCCAGGGTTTAATAGCTGCTAAGTGGCAGAGACTTAGCGCCTCTCCAACTTCAGTTCTCTGGTGCCAAACCTTGTAGTTTTACAAGTCTGTGCCTTCTTAGCAAGCTTTGCAAGTCTGATGTTCAGTCCAAAAAAGACCAGCTAATTTGTGCATGTGCTAGATGATGTTTCTGTAAATGGACTTGGGTCTAGTGGGGTTTGGATTCTTTAACCAGTAGCAGTAGTGGTGGTCCAATGTCAGAAACATGGAAAGTAAGAAAATTATGGCTTTTAAGTGCTTTTTGGAAATTATATTTAAATTGCAATATCACCTTTCTGGGAATTAACAGTATTTCAGACAAGTTATGAAAAACATTCACAAAAACTAACCTGGAAGAATCTAGAGTCCCTGTTTTGCCCTCAAACATCTTTTTTTCCTGGTCTTCATTTTATGACAAGATTGAATAGCATACTTTCTCAAATAGACTTGTATGTAGGGAGCTATTCTTGTTGCCCAAGAAGTGTCTTGCATTTGCCTGTCTTGGGTGTAGTATGTAAATATAGATTCTTCTTTACAAGACCTCTCCTGGTAATTAAGAACTTACCTGTAAAAGCCAGTGAGAAGCATAGAAGAATCTCCAGTTACTGAGTTGAAATGGAGACCGGGCTAATACTCCTTTAGCCCTTGGTTTCCATTTCTTCTCTGAAGGACCACAGATACCATAAGGAAAACATTTCATTCAGAAGGTGAAAACCACAGTAGGAAGCTAAAAACTAAAGTGTTCATCTCCCTCTGTGTTGGGGCTGGGCTCCTCACCACTCCCCTCCGCCTCCTTTCTGCCCCGCCGTCTGCTGGGAGCCTTCACTACTGATTCAGAACCCCCAGCCTGCAGATTTGGTCCTTTCCCATCCGCTCTGCCGAACCTGTCCTGGAGCAGTGTTGTCTTCGCTAACGCAGGCATAAAAACTAAGCATTTGTCACAGAAATCTAGGCTTTTGTTCCTAATGACACTGTCCTGAAACAAAAACTTCCATTTGCACCTGTTATCTGTGAGCATCAATTGTTGGGGGCTAGATTTTAAGGCCTTAGAGCAGCGTGTCACGCTCACTGAAGAATCTGAACAGATTTATAATGTGTAATATATTTCACTCGCTGAGATAAACTAATGACATCCTCATGATACTCTTTTAATTCCAGCAAGATCCGTACATAGCCTCTATGGAGCACCACACCGACTGGGTGAACGACATTGTGCTTTGTTGCAATGGGAAAACATGTGAGTGTTTCTTTGATTATTGGGCTCAGGAAGCTTTTGATTTAATTTGATACATTTTTCACGCAAGCTTTTTATTGAAATGTAATGTACATACAGAAAAGCGTAATCACCCTGACAGCACAGCTCAATACAAATTTGCAAAGTAAACACCCATGCCAAGAAACGGATTACCAGAAGCACTGCCTTCCCCACCCCTGCACCTGTGCCGCCCTTTCAGTCCCTACTTTTTGCCCTGAGGTACCCGCTCCTCTGTCTTCTGAACACTGTCCATTGGTTTTACCTACCTTTGAACTGCATATAAATAGATTCATATCTATTCTTCTTTTAACCTTATTAATGTATCTTTCTTCTCTTATTATGGTGAGATCCATTTCTTGGTGTTTCAGTCTGTGTGAGAAGGATTTTCCCAATCAAACTAGTTCAGCTGGAATTTTTTAAAAGTTTCCCCTGCCTCTTAAAAAAAATTTTGAGGCAGAATACAGTAGGTTCTAGAAAAAACCTTTTAGATATATATGTGTATGTATTAACATGAACAGATGTTTGAATTAATGTTAGGAATATTGTAAATATTAAAGTATGTACAATATATGTGTATGCACAATAGAAACATTAGTTTGAAACAATGTTACGTTGATTTATGATGTCTTTGAAATGGTGATGCTATCCGATGAAGGTGTTTGTTAATTCTTTGCCTCTTCTAGTGATATCTGCTTCCTCTGACACGACAGTAAAAGTATGGAATGCACATAAGGGATTTTGCATGTCAACATTAAGGACACATAAGGTAAAAAAACTAACACCATCTTAGCGAATTTAGTATAACATTGGGATCTCAGTACTTTATATGGCCGACTTTCTTGATCTGCAGTGTCGATCACGGTGCATGTGTTCTTTTACAGGATTATGTAAAGGCCTTAGCATATGCCAAGGATAAAGAACTGGTAGCATCGGCTGGGCTGGACAGACAGATCTTCCTGTGGGATGTGAATACTCTAACAGCACTGACTGCCTCAAATAACACTGTCACAAGTAAGGTGTCTGAATACATCTCTTTAACAGTGCTCCAAGTTGACATAAATGAAGAGTGGCTTATAAAATATCTTTGATAAGTTTACATCAGTTCAGTGGCTCATATCTAGAGAGTGCTTCTACATACAGCATTCTAGTCCCCCAAAAAATGTTTGAAAAGGGAGAAGCTAGCTCCTCACTGCAGTTTGAAATGGCACCTTTTCCAGATGTGACCTGGTGTTTTCGTGCATGAGCACGTCTTAGCTCCCCAGCCAGAGTGCAAGCTCCTGCAGGACAGAAGAGTCGTTTCACTACTGCGTTGTCTCTGCCACAGCACTGCCCGGCCCAGAGCTGCACACTCAGCAGGTAGATGCAGGTGGTGATTACCTGACAAAGCAGGCAGTTTCTGACTTTTAGAAGTGTTACTATATAGTGAGAGCCTTTGAGTTAATGGTCAATTTGGAAAATACCCAAAGCAAAGAAAGAAAAGGTTTTCAGTGCTAATTTTGCATGGCCTTTTCAGAGCAGCCTTAAAGAATCCAGTCAGTTCCAGAAGAGTTCAGGGAGGCTAGGCCGCTTCTGGAAGCAATTCATAGATGTTCATAGCAAGTTACCACACGAGTGCTTCCTCTGCTAAGAGATCTCGTTACCAGGCCAGACCCATGCAAGTCTAGATGTGAAACTCAGCCCTCGTGGTTGGCCCAGCCACTAGAGCCCTCTAGGCCAGGATAAGAAAGGTCTCTAAGAAGCACACTTTTAGCTAAGCCTGGCCTCGAAGGCCTGTGTTCAGGACATGGGCCTGAACTATGTAGATTCCTGTATTATAGATTAAATTTGGCATGACTGTGGAATGCTCATATTGACATAGCTAAGGCAGTTCTCAAAACCTAATGTGTGCCAACACATTTAGGTGCAAATTGGGAGACTTTTCCCCCAGGAAATATGTGAAGGTCTTAAACACTGTTCCCCCCTTGTTCTTCTTGATTATCACCTGTATGCTATCAGTGATTCAGTGGCTGGTCCCTGCCAGGGCTGTGATGGTCCATCATTTAGCTCTCTGTAGATACAAGGAACTGCTCAGAGAGGCACTAACAAGAGGGAACAAAGGAGAACATGATTGGTCCCAAGGTCAGAGAGCAGGCTTAGTGGACATGGATTTGGCAACAGATATGCCTTGCTTAGAATTGTTTAGAAAGGATCTCACATAAGTTTTTTATGACTATAGAAATAATACTAATAGCTAACATTTCTTGAATACTTTCTACAAGCACTTTTCTAAATACATATATTAACTTCTTATCACTTCTAAGTATGTTTATTTATTGTAAAATTAGGATCATACTATATGGGTTTTTATAATTTATTTTTTATTGATTATGCTGTTACAGTTGTTCTATTCCCCCCTTCATTCCCCTCCACCCTACCCCCCATCTCCACCATTAACCCCCCCTTTAGTTTATGACCATGTATCTCAAGTTCTTTGGATTCTATATTTCCCATACTATTCTTGCCCCCCCATCTATTTTCTATCTACTGTCTATGCTACTTATTTTCTGTACCTTCTCCCCCCTTCTCCTCCTCCCACTCCCCTGTTGCTAACCCTCCTTGAGATCTTCATTTCATGTTTCCACTCCTGATCTAGCTGTCCTTTTAGTTTGCTTTTGTTTTAGGTGTGGTTGTTAATAACTGTGAGTTTGTTGTCCTTTCACTGTTCATGTTTTTTTAACTTCTTTTTCTTAGATAAGTCCCTTTAACATTTCATATAATAAGGGCTTGGTGATGATGAACTCCTTGAATTTGATCTTATCTGAGAAGCACTTTATCTGTCCTTCCATTCTAAATGGAAGTTTTGCTGGACAGAGCAATCTTGGTTGTAGGTCTTTGGATTTCATGACTTGGAATACCTCTTTCCAGCCCCTTCTTGCCTGTAAGGTCTCTTTTGAGAAATCCGCTGACAGTCTGATGGGGATTCCCTTGTAGGTGACTGTCCCCTTAGCTCTTGCTGCTTCTAGGATTCTCTCCTTCATTTTAATCTTGGGTAATGTAATTATGATGTGCCTTGGTGTGTTCCTTCTTGGGTCCAACTTCTTTGGGACTCTCTGAGCTTCCTGGATTTCTTGGAAGTCTGTTTCCTTTGCCAGATTGGGGAAATTCTCCTATATTATTTGTTCAAATAAGTTTTCCACTGGTGGCTGTTCCTTTCCCCCTTCTGGTACCCCTATTATTCGGATGTTGGAACGTTTAAAGATGTCCTGGAGGTTCCTAAGCCTCCTCATTTTTTTGAATTCTTGCTTCTTGACTCTTTTCTGTTTGGCCATTATTTGCTTTCTTGTGGTCCACTCCATTGATTTGAGTCCCAGTTTCCTTTTCATCGCTGTTGGTTTCCTGTGCAATTCCATTCATTTCAATTAGTTTCGCCTTCATATGTTTGTCTAATTTGTGGCTATAATCAACCAGTTCTGTGAGGATCCCGATCACCAGTGTTTTAAACTGTGCGTCTGAGAGTTTTGCTATTTCGTCATCGCTTAGATTTATAGGCTCTGGGGCTTTAAGATCTTCTTGAGCCATTTTTGATCTGTTTGCGCCCGTTAAGTCTGAGGAGCGGAGCCTTGGACTCCCAGGTCGCTGGGTTGTGACTCTATGTGGAGGTGGGATCAGAGCGGGGAAATGGCGGTCCCCTCTGCTGTTTCTCACAGCTGGGTGAAGAGCAGAGCCTTAGGTTGTTCACTGGGCAGGGCCACTTAGGTCACTGGATTATGATGCTGTATGTGGAAGCGGGGTCATAGCAGGGAAATGGCGGAGCCCTCCGCAGCCTCTTGCCGCTTGCCACTGGCGCTGCTGGCTCTCATCCAATCGCCCACTCCCTCGCTTGTCTATCCACACACAAATGCGCGACCACCGTCAACCCGCAGCCCTGCTCCCTCGCTGTTTCACCGCAATTGCTTGCTGAGTTGCCCACCAGGTCCAACCCTGCGCCTGGATTCCGCGCACCTGAGTCCGTCTGACCGAGTTTTCCTGTGCTACCCCACTCTGCCAGCTGCTGGTTTCGCCTCTCTTACCGGTCAGGCTGAGGAATTTGTTGTTACCAGACTTCCAAAAAGTTCAATTTTCTGTGTTCTGGCTGTGTTTTCTGTTGCTAATATTTAGTTGTCTCTAAACTTGGTTGTGTGAGGAAGCACGGCGTCTCCACCTATGCCTCCATCTTGGTGGAACAGGATCATACTATATGGTTTTATATGCAGTTTTCTTCACCCCATTGATACTTCGTTCTGAATTAAAGGGCATAAACTTACTGTCTAATTTCCTCCCAGAAGAGTTGTACCAAATTATCGTCCTGCAAATAATGTACAAGAGTCCTATTTTACTGTTTTTTGATAATTAAATCTTACCTTTTAAAAAATATGATTTGGTAGGTGAAAATAAACTAAATATGTCTATTTTGATTTGTATTAGAAAATAGTTTGGGTGTATTTTGCATTTATGTTGGCACACGTATATCTGTGAAAATACATTATGTGGATAGTTTTTAAATGGCAGTGCAGTTCAATTTCGCAGATGTTTATTGAGCATTTGTATATACTCAAATCCAGAAAAATGTAAAACTTGATAATAACATTGCTTAGAATTATCTCTATTACAGATTCCTTTTCTTTAGAGCACTCATAAAGATAAGATTTTCCAAATTGAATAATTAAACTTACAGTCTTTGTAGACTAGCTACTAAACACCTGATGATTTTATTAACATTCAGCTCCATTTATTCTTAATAGCTTCTTCTTTAAGTGGAAACAAAGATTCCATTTATAGCCTGGCAATGAATCAACTGGGAACAATCATTGTATCAGGGTCCACTGAGAAGGTAAGGGGGAGCTTATCTAGTGTTCAAATACACTGGAAAGCAGGGAAACCAAAATAATTTGATCTGTGTCATTACTAAATAGATAGACAGTGGTTTTGCCAGGTGGAATGCTAAAAGAAAAGTTTTATTTGAGCAAATACGAGTATAACTGTAATTACTGTCCTGTGTGGGGAGAGGGGCGATCGATGGGCTGGGGAAGGCCTGTGTATTTTTGACATTCACGGGGCCTCCTGCTGCTTGAAAAGGGAGCCCTAGACGGTGTCCTGTGACAGAAGCAGTATTTCATTCTCAGAATTTAATGGGTCGTCATTTGATTTATAAAAGTCATCTATAATTTAAATCTGAGCGTGTATACTCAGTTTGTGTGATATTTTGTTAAAATTTACAGGTTTTAAGAGTGTGGGATCCAAGAACTTGTGCAAAACTGATGAAGCTTAAAGGGCACACAGACAACGTGAAAGCGCTGCTGTTAAACAGAGATGGCACCCAGGTACACAGCTCGGGGAGTGGGAGGGGCACGACCCTGCAGTGCCATCAGAGGTCCCACACCGCAGAGTCTCCACACCGCAGAGACTCCCCCCAGGGCACCGCTGCGTGTGCTGGTCTGACCCAAGCCACACATGCTCTGAACCCTGGACTAGTTTTAAGTCCTTAAAATACAAAATTGTCCAGGTAGTAACCCCAATTTTTAAATTACTCTGTTTGCATCACTTTAAAATAAAAGACAAAGAATTTCCTCATAATAATGCTAATGCAAATGAGTAGAAGTAATTGTGATATGTGTAGGCTAAAACAATTTAAAATGTTTCCTTGTCTAAAGTAGGAAAAACTGATATTGAATGCTTTCTGCCAGCGTATTATGTGGAAAACTTCCTCATAGTGGGTCTGACTTCAGGGCAGATCCTGTCAGTTGACTGTGTAGATACAATCTGTGTATGATTTTAGTTACCTAACAAGATACTTAGAGTCAACATTTCCAAGAAAAACATTTTGGTAATGTTCGAACATGTATTCTGTGGGCTACATAATATGTGAGTTATAAATCACAGTTGTTTGTTCTGTAGCAGTGCAAAGATGACCGTTTACCGGTATAGACAATAAAAACCAGAAACTGAGCACCGTTTATGTTACAACATACCACTACCCTGCACCCCTGCCTCCCCACCGTTGTCTCCATGGGGCAGGGGTAAGTCCACAACGGGGCAGTTTGACTGTGATGAGCTTAGAAAAGCTCTGGAGAGTAGGAAGGTGATCAGATGAGAAACACCATCATTTTACTCCCGTGGAAATTACAGCATGAGAATTGCCTCCCACTTGAGATAGGGAAAACTTTCTGTCTCCAAAGGTGAAAGGAAGGTTTGAAAAACTAGCCGAACAAAGGAAATCATTTCTCAGAACCAGGCGAAGGAAGACTTGAAGATACCCATGAGGTCTTTGGCAGTGTGGAAGGCGCTCAGTGTTAGTGTACAGTGGCCTGGAGCAGAGGACTCGCTTTACTGGTCCCTAGTTTGCTCATCTGCAAAGTGGGGATCATGATACTTAGTTTGGGTAGTTGGTGAGAAGATTAGAAGTAACGAGTACATTCCTGTCTGTAACCCACTCGGCTTTTAGAGCTCTTGAGACCTTCACAGCCTTACTTGCATGTGAGTTTGGGAGGCCCTAGTGCAGTGCGCGCCTCACCGTTCTGCTGTATAGCAGCCAGGCTGCATGTGAGGTGGTTGCCCGTACCCTGTTCTCCTGGCTTTGTCCAGGTTTCACTGGATCATGTTGTCTCCATAGGACTGCCCTTCAGTACTGGTTGTAGACTCAGTGGTTTCCAGAAGGGGACTCTGGGCCTGGCAGACTTTCTAGAGCTCCTCCTGACGACTCCATGCCTTGTTTCCAAATGTACATTTATGAACGTGCTTTCACCCAAGATGATTTAAATAGCAAGCAAATGCATGCCACCTGAAGTCAGCTAATTTACTATAAGCAGAGACAGTCATGGGGTACTGCTTTAAAAGCTGCTTGTCAGCCTGAGAGCACATAATTACGTGGATATCATTTCTTCTCTAGTTCCTCCTCCATCCCTTTTCCTCATTGACCCCTGTAGACTAAATGCAAATTTAATGACCAACAGCACAGCAGTTTTATCAGTACATCAGGGAATTGACCAGCAAAACAACTCTAACTACCCACTTGGGAAAAAGAGGGGCGAGAGAGACCTTTACTTAGTGATTCGCAGACTCTTGTGATACAGAAGAGACAGTTTACTGGGCCACAGTTTATACTGCCCCCTGCAGAACTGCCCTGCAAGGTCCCACGTAGGGTCCCGGGAGGCCTCATAATTCAAGGACTTATGATATGCACAGTGGGCCAGTGAATCCTGTGGGTGTCGACCTGTTGCCTCACTTCCTTTGTTACAGAGTCAGGTTCCTGTGTAGCAAATCTTGAAGTTTGAGCTCTGTCACCATTGCAGTTGCTTTGATCGGTACCAGCTTTACTGGACCAAGCCATTTTTCAGAGGCAGAATACAGGTTGTTAGAAGTGTGCTTGACAGTGTGAAGTCTGGAGAGAAGCCCCGTGCAAAGCACAGGAAAACAGGAATTTTCAGGCAGGTTTCTAACCTTAACTTTCTTCGTTCCCAGTGCCTTTCCGGCAGTTCTGATGGGACCATTCGCCTTTGGTCCCTTGGTCAGCAGAGGTGTATAGCAACGTACCGAGTCCATGATGAAGGCGTTTGGGCTCTGCAAGTCAATGACGCCTTCACACACGTGTATTCCGGAGGAAGGGACCGGAAGATTTACTGCACAGACCTGAGGAACCCTGACATTCGAGTGCTGATCTGTGAAGAAAAAGCACCCGTTCTCAAGGTATATCATATGCTTCAGTTTTATATAATTAAGGTCGTTATGTGTGCTAGCCAGATACAGCAAAATTTATATTAAAACATGAGTCAGTTGTGGGATTGTAAAAAAGATATTTTAACATTATTGTTAGTCATCTGGAGAAGAATTGGAGGCTTCCTAGGTCCCTCAGGGACGCCTGGTCCCCCCAGTGGCGAATCCTAGTGGTATTGCCCCGCACTCACACTGCTCCTGAGACCCCCTGGCTCCCCGAACATGTCGCTGGGGAGGAGTACGAGGAGTTCAGGTATCTGTGAGCAGATGGCCAAGCAGAAGTGTGTCCCCTGCCTCCAGAGGAAGGTTGTGGAAGAGCGCTCCTGAGGAAGAGGGAGCGAGCTGGCTCGTCCAGCTCACCGTTACTGCCTCCCGGCGGTCCTGACCGGGGTCTGGGAGGGGCGTGAGGGTGCTTGAGAGCCATCATCACTGACACCTGCTGCAAGTGAGGCCTCGTGAGGCCGTGACCAACCATGGCCAGTCATCCTACAACAGAATGGTCAGCCTCACTGGTACTCACAGAATTGCACATTAAAACAACTGGGAGGAAATTGCCAGATTGAAAACGGGGGCATAAAGACAGCATTACCCCTCCTCCCAGAACCATCTGGAAGCAACAGGAAAAAGAAACAACAGCAAATTCCCATCATCTGTGAAACTAAGTGACATCTGAAGCCCAGACCACAGTATCAGAGGAAGGGCTAGAAAGGGGAATAGAGGTCAGATGAGGGTTGAGACGAGGCCTGTAGTCTAGGAGCTCACACAAAACTGGCAGAGCACACCTCTTTAAAACAGACTGCGCAGCCCTGGCTCATGTGGCTCAGTTGATTGAGCACTGGCTTATGAACCACAGGGCCGCTGGTTCGATTCCCAGTCAGCACTCATGCCTAGGTTACACAGGTCCCCGGTTGGGGGCATGTAAGAGGCAACCACACATTGATGTTTCTCTCCCTCTCTTTCTCCCTCCCTTCCCCTCTCTATAAATAAATAAATAAAATCTTTCAAAAAACAAAATAGATGGCACACCCTGATGGACAAACCAATAGTACTTTAGAGAAGCAAGAGAGGTGGGTGCGCTGGAAGCACAGGCACGGCATGTGCGCAGGAAGCAGGCTGGGGGGCGACAGGTGGGGGCGGCACGGGCGGCACGGGCGTCCTGCAGCCGCCAGGGTCCCGTGGCCGCGGAGAAAAAGAACTTAGTGCAGGCATGACCGGACGTCACCAGAGACGTCACTTTGAACTGAAGAGGATTCCTGCTTGCTAAGAGTCTGGTCCCCACGGCGCCAGGAAGAAATCCCGGTACAGGAAGAAGAGTGGACGAACATAGAGTGATCCCATTGGCATAATACATGAGCATTTGTGTATTTTGTACATTTAGCATTTTAAAAATCCAGAGTTAGGGGGCGGAGGGATTGAGCAAAAAGGAAAAAGGACTTGTGGACACGGACAACAGTGTGGGGGTTGCAGGCCAGGAGGGGCACATGGGGGGGATAAAAGGTAATGGGAAAAATACGATTAAAAAAATCCAGAGGACACACAGTAAACCCTTCACAAGTACACTGACTGTCCTTAGGTGAGGGTGGGTTATCTGGGGTTGCTTTTCACTTTTGCTTTGTTTTTTTTAATTAAAAAAACATTTCTTTGTTATTAATGTAAAAACAAAAGTAGCAAAAACAAAAAAATTACAGTAAGTCATGCTGTGCACTGTCCCCATTTAGATTCCTCAGACTCACCACACTTTAACTTGCAGCCACTGTTTTCAGTGAGAAGTCAGCCCTGCAGGGCTGCAAATATCCTTCGCACACACTCCCTCATTCATCTGTTGGACCCTTAGCCCTTCAGGCCTGCATGGTATATAAACACACAGATGTTGAGTGGAGGGGTTATTTAACAATGTGTATCTACCTAGTCTTGGCAGCTCACACCGGTCAGCATTTCCCAAAGCAGCATTTTTGTGTGGTGTTTTCAGATGGAGCTGGACAGATCAGCTGATCCCCCTCCTGCAATCTGGGTGGCAACAACTAAATCTACAGTAAATAAGTGGGTAAGTAAGCCATTGAATGCTTGGCAGAGGATTAGAAACACATCGTTCGTTATTACAGACCTGCCAGATACCAGTCAAAATGCTCAGTATGAAACTGGCTCTCAGCAAAAATCTGAAAGCTCTGATGAATGCAGATGTGATTCTAAGGGCCGTACAAAAATGAAGGTAGTTGTCAAAATAAAGCTTCTGGCATGTTTGTCAGGAGCCAAGAAATACATGTGATGTGCTCGGCATAGATGCTGTAGCCTGGGGCAGCCAGTGGAGATCAGTGCAGCTTGTAATGTGCAGCTGCACTCGAAGACGGGCAGCCCAGGTGACCAGCGCGGCAGGGAAGCTCCTTAGACTTGTTTTTCTAAATGTGGAGAAAACTGAAGATTGTGCTTTCAAGTTCATTTCCTTTTTCTTCATAGTATGAAGAATGGGGGTGGAAAGAATAGAGGAGGATCAGAGAGAAGTCATCAAAAACACTATTAATTCTTAAATCTTAATAACTAAAGAAGATTTTAAGTTTTCTGACCAGACTGTTTGTGAATAACAAAGGAGAAAGTGTTTACACATTTATTTCTGTTTACATGCAGTTAAGTGGTCTTTCTCTGTACTTGTAACAAACATTACACATCTTCTCTAAGTTTCTTTGCTCCAGTTTGAGAAATACATAGTCTATCTGGAAGAGTTCCTGGTGTTCTCTTGAAAAAGACATTCCTTTCTTAATATTTGTTTCAGTTTTTTTTAACTGTGGTAGATAATTATACTTCGCACTATGTATTTTTTGGTTAATGGAGTTGTTATTGGGTTTTTCTCATTCGTTCTTTGTTTTTCTTGCCACTTTAAATAGATCGGTAAAGCTTAAAAAGCATAAAGTGATCAAATAATGAATTTTGTTCCTTCAGACACTGAAGGGAATTCACAACTTTAGAGCCTCTGGAGATTACGACAACGACTGTACAAACCCCATAACACCCCTTTGCACACAGCCTGACCAGGTGATTAAAGGTGAGGAGACGGGACGGTGGTGTGTGTTCTTCCCCCTGATGGCTGGTATGACTCGTCTTCTGTTACATGTCAGTTAGCAGTCGTTGCTGTACTATTAATGTAAATGTAGTACAATAGGAGGATTGTTTTGCTAATTGTGTGGATTTTTCTCCTTTAGGTGGTGCTAGTATTATTCAGTGCCACATTCTCAATGATAAGAGACATATATTAACCAAAGATACCAATAATAATGTGGCATATTGGGATGTATTGAAGGTGAGTATCTTTTTGTATTTAAAAACATAGGTTATTGGATCATATATCCCATTGATTTTTTATTGTTAAATATATAGAAATATATGAGTGGTATATAGCTCAAGATAATACATATATAAATTAAGATTTAGTTTCAATAATACTTTATGTGGGTGGATATTACTTATGTGAATATTGGGTAAGGCTAGGGTTTATCTTTTTAAGCACCTGAGATTTGAATGGAGCCATTTTCTCTGTTTAGTATATAACAAGTAGTGTTATAGGCTGCCTTACCTTAAGGTGAATACAGTACATGTGCTTCTTGTCTTTGACACTGTTGTCATTTTGGGCCGATCAGCCTTTGCTGCAGGTGAGGGGTGTGGGGTCTGTCCTGTGTGTTGAACAGTGGTCAGCAGCACCCCCAGCCTCTGTCTACTAAACACATGCCAGTAACCACCTTCCCCTCGCCCAAGTCAGCGGTAACAACCCAGAATGTCTCCAGACATTGCCAGATGCCTAGAGAGGGGAACAGAGATGCAGAGTCACTCTTGGGTGAGAACTGCTGGAGGGTGTGGAGTAAGCTCGGCCGTTTTTAGAGTCTGCAGCCGTCACTGTGGACGCCAGTTACAGCTGTGGGGCCTGTCGCGGCAGCACCTTCTGGGGTAGTTGAGGTGTAGCAAGCTGTTCAGTCGCATTCTAAATAACACTGAAGAATTTACAGATGGCTTGAAAAGTTTGCTTTTCATGTTCTGACAAATGCCCCTTCTTGCTGGTGTTAGTATTTTCAATAAACAGATATTTCCTGGTTTGAATGAATATTGTGAGCAGAGAATTGTGTTAAGAGTCACAGATAACAGAAAAGTCTGTACCATGATCCCTTCTGGTACCAGGACAAGAGCCGGGGAGTGTGAGAGCCTTATAGATGAAAATAAACAAACACATCACAGGATATGGTAGCTTATGCTCAAGGGCCATTACTTAGAACTGGAAAGGAATTGGGAGAGCTTCATGGTGGAAACACATTTGAACAGAGACTTAAAGGATTCCAGCAGATGAGTAATGGCAGGGCATTTTAGGAAGAGGGAGTGAAGGACAAAGGCACAGAAGAGGGAAGGTACCTGCTTATTCAGAGCAAGGTGAGCAGTTTTGCAATTGGAGACTAGGTGAGTTCAAGGGAGTCAGTCGTAAGGGTATAAGGATGAAAGATGAGACTCAGGGCATTTCCCAAAGAGTCTTGCATTACAGGCCCCAGAGTTGGCCTTTCTTTGGTACTCCCTAAAGAATCTTAATCTTAGATGGTTTGTTTTTTTTTTTAAGATTTTATTTCTTTTTTAGAGCAAGGGGAAGAGAGGGAGAGAGAGAGAGAAACACTTGGTGAGAGAAACATCAGTCGGCTGCTCTCGGGCACCCCCAGTGGGAAACCTGGCCCACAGCCAAGGCACGTGCCCCGAGGAATTGAACCTGCAACCTTTCAGTTTGCAGGCCAGCACTCAGCCCACTGAGCCACACCAGCCAGGGCTGATCTTAGCTGGGTTAGAAAAGGAAGATCCCATGTTCGGAGCAGTACTGGTATGTGTAATGGAAAGAAGCAGGTAGGTAGTTGTCTGAAGCATGATGATTTGGGGCAATCTGAAGGAAGAGACAGGCGTTGTACAAATTATAGAGGAAGAATTGGAAAGATCTGGAGTTTTGGTCAGGCTCTTGGCTGTAAGAAACAGATTCACTTAAGATCACTTCTGGAGCTAAAGAATAAGACAAACAAGTTTCTTTCTGGGGAAAAGCGATTGTCTCTGAATAGAAACTGTGGCCTAACACTTTCCCTCCCTGTGGGGCAGCTGCGTGGGAAGTCACATTACAAATCAATTGCTTGGTGAGCATAGCTTCAGAGCAAGAGGCCTTACTTCAGTGGAAAACTTAATTGCGGCAGGCTGCCCGCGTCCAGTGGTTTTTCTCTACAACAGAGATGTGCTTATCAGGGGACGAGAACTTCATGTTTGCTTCCGAGTGGGGTCCTGCAGAGACGGGAGGATTCAGAGCAGCCCCGGGACTTCTTCAGCAGGAACTCGAATACTCCACCACTCACATGGCCCCAGCTCTACCCACCCCAGGGCTAGGCCTCACCTGATGCCCAGCACCTGGTGCTCTCCAGAAGAGCCAACAAAATCTAATCAGTCTGGCTAGTTTCTGGGGGTTGACTTACTGATTTTCTGCCTGTTGGGTCTGATGTCCTCTCGGCCTGATTAGCTAACGCATTAGTAGAGGCCTGCTGTCTGAGTGGGAGGTGGTTCTGCTTAGATGGGGCACTGGGCTGGCATTTATCATGACTGGCATTTCTGTGTCTCCAGCAGCTTCCCGCACCCAGACACTAGATCTTGAAGTTTAGAGAGTGAGTGATTGGGTGTGACGAACATGACACTAAATAAAAGAAGGGAAGTCAGGAGTAGTTAGGAACAGAAGCCGAAGTTGGACAGAACTGCGTTCTAATCTTGGCTCTGCCAGCTGCTAGACAAAGGGGTCTCCAGAACAGGCTAAACCTCTCTGAGCCTCTGTCATTATTCCTGAAATGTGGTGGCACCTATTTCCTGGTGGTGTTAAGGGGATGTTCAAGAAGTATTTATCAAAATTCAGATTCTTGGTTCCAGCCAAGATGGAGGTGTAGGTAGAAGAGCTTTGTTCCCCCACAACCAAAAGAAGGACAACAACCAATTAAAAACAAACAACCAGAACTGCTGGAAAATGAAACTGCATGGAAGTCTGACACTGAGGAGTTCAACATTCATCTAGACTGGTGGGGGGGGTGGAGACAGTCAGGCTGAGCAGAGAGGAGGTGCGGCAAGATGGCAGACTGCGCGGGCGAGGTGGGGGCTGGCTGATGGGGCCGTCCCACATTTGCTTGGATAAGCTAGGAGGAACAACTGGGAAGCTAGACAGACCACGAACCCAGGATTCCAGTGCAGGGAAACTAAAGACTCAAAAAAAACCTCTGGCTGTTAAAAGCCTGTGGCAGTGGGAGAAACTCCCAGTCTCACTGGGGGGTCTGTTGGAGAGGCCCACAGGGTCCTAGAATGTACACGAGCCAACCCACCTGGAAATCAGCACCTGAAAAGGGTACATTTCACTTGTGGGAAGTGAGGGAGGTGACAGAAAGTGGAGCAAAAGCTGAGCAAGTGGGCAAGCGTGTTCCCTCTCTGACCCCTCCCCCACAGACAGCACCACCACGCAGCGATGTGGGTTGCCCCACCCTGGCAGATACCTAAGACTCCACGCCTGCAATGTAACAGTTTAGCCGAGATAAAGAAATATTGCACAAATGAAAGAACAGATCAAAACTCCAGAAAAAGAACTAAGCAATGAGGAGATAGCCAGCCTATCAGATGCAGAGTTCAAAATACTGGTAATGAGGATGCTCACAGAATTGGTTGAGTACAGTTGCAAAATGAAGGAAGATGTGAAGGCTATGCAAAGTGAAATAAAGAAAAATATACAAGGAATGAACAGTGAAGGGAAGGAAACCAAGACTCAAATCCATGATTTGGACCAAAAGGAAGAAATAAACATCCAAGTGGAACAGAATGAAGAAACAAGAATTCAAAAAATGGGGAGATGCTTAGGAACCTCTGGGACAACTTTAAACGTTCCAATTTCCAAATTCTAGGGGTGTCAGGAGAAGAAGGACAAGAGCAAGAAATTGAAAATTTATTTGAACAAATAAGGAAGGTATACTTACCTGATCTGGCAAAGGAAATAGATCTCCACAAAATCCAGAAAACTCAGAGAGTCCCCCAAAAATTGAGTCTAAGAAGACACGTACCAAGACATATTATAATTACATTACACAAGATTAAAGATAAGGAGAGAATCTTGGAAGGAGCAAGAGAAAAGGAGAGAGTTACCTACAGAGGAGTTCCCATAAGACTATCAGCTGATTTCTTAAATCTTGCAAGCAAGAAGGTGCTGGAAATAAGTATTCAAATTCCTTTTTTTTAATATATTTATTTTTAGACAGAGGGGAAGGGAAGGAGAGAAATATCAATGTATGGTTGCCTTTCGTGTGTCCCCTGCTGGGAACTGGTCTGCAACCCAGGCATGTTCCCTGACTGGGAATCGAACCGTGATCCTTTGGTTCCCAGGCCTGTGCTCAATCCACTGAGCTACACCAGCCAGGGCAGTATTCAAATTCTTGAAAGGCAAGGACCTACATCCAAGATTGCTCTATCCAGCAAAGCTATCATTTAGAGTGGAAGAGCAGATAAAGTGCTTTCCAGATAAGGTCAAGCGAAAGTAGTTCATCATCACCAAGCCCTTATTATATGAAATATTAAAGGGACTTATCTAAGAAAAAGATAAAAAAATATGAACAGTTAAATGATGACAAACTCACAACTATCAACAACTGAACCTAAAAAAAACTAAGCAAACAACTAGAACAGGAATAGAATCACAGCAATGGAGATCACATGGAGGGTTATCAGTGGGGAGGGGGAGGGGGAGAATGGGGAAAAGGTACAGGGAATAAAGCATAAACGGTAGGTACAAAATTGACAGGTGAAAAAAAATTGACAGGTGAAGGGTAAGAATAGTATGGGAAATGGAGAAGCTAAAGAAAGAACTTACATGTACAACTCATGGACATAAACTAATGGGGGGAGAGTACAGGGCAGAATGGGAGAAGAAATGGGACAACTGGAATAGCATAATCAATAAAATATACCTAAAAAAGAAGCCTTTATCATAGCAGCTAGCCCGTAGTAGTTAGGAAGCTGTTGCACTGATACAGGTGAAATATCAGGTACTTGACTGGGTAGGAACAAGAGGCCTGTAGGTAAGAGTGATGCTTAAGGAAAGGAAGATAAATCCTGGGTTTCTGGAGTAGGTAGCTTATTGAGTGGAAGTAATACAAGGAATGTAAGGGGGGAAATGGGTTGTTGGGGCAAAGGGACATGCCGAGAAAGACAGCGCGTTTCTGTGGGACGTCCCGAGTAGAGGCATCTTCTGGGCAGACAGCAGTAGAGCCCAATGCACAGATGAAAGTGCTGGGCTGGAGAAACGGGGTCAGCAGTCAGCAGCCCATGCCATGGATTACTGTTGAAGTCATGGAAGATGTCCCAGTTTCCACGGGATGCATCTGTACTGAAACGAAACCAAGTCATCACCCTTTCAGGAATTGTTAGAAAAAGAGGAAGCCACAAAAGAGTATAATAAAAGGTGTAAGAAAACCAAGAGTCAGCGGCAGTTCAAGAAGTAATGAAGCATTTTGGAAAGGAGCTCAGGGTTAGCAGCATTGGCCTGCTGAGATGTCATGCAGAATACAGAAAGGAATGTGCACATGGGTGTCTGGGGAGAACAGTCTCTAGCAAGTCCTAAGGGCAAAAGCCAGACGGAGTGGGTTGGGTAGTGATTGGGAGGTGAAGAAACAATTTGAGTGCTGGCAATCTTGGACATAGTTTTACTTTGCTGTGGTGAAGGAGTAGCTGGAGAGGATTTAGGGATGAAAGGGCCAACGAAGGTTTTCTTTTGGTGTGCAGGTACCTTTCAGATGGGAGAAATTTGGACATGGTTCACTGCTCAGGGGGAGAGGCCAAAAGGGACAGAAGGTGGATGGTGGGACATGCCCCAGAAAGCGAGAGGATCCAGAGCATAGCAATAAGGGACACCCTTTCCTTGCACCAGGAAGGATGGGAGCAGAAAGTTAAGGGGATTTTGTCCATGCTTCTCTTTTTTGAGGAGTAGAGGTCAGGGTCATGTGCTGAGGGTAGTGAGGAAGGGTAGTGAGGTCAAAGGAGGAGAGTAAAGATGAAGATGTTGTGGAGAACTGACTCCGAAGCAGAAGAGATCCCAGGTAGCATGTGGGTGAACTGTGGTTGGAGATCGTTCATAGTAAGAACATTGTCAAGGATTTGAGAGGTCACATGTCCTTTGATTGTCCACATGGTTGCTGCTGTTGTCCAGGATGAAAGCAACAACTCAAGATGGACTGCAAGACATTGAACCAGGGCTCGAGTCTCTAGTGAGTGAGGGAGTGACCGCAGAGGCTGCTAGGCGGCAGTGAGGAAAGGGGTGCAGGTTACTGCAGCTCAGTTACATGGGCCTCAGAGCAGTGGGATGTTTACAAAGATGGTGGGTGGTGGTCTCTGTGCCGTAGGCGGCGTGGGATGCAGGGGAAGCAGCACAGCCACCCTGTGAGCAGATGCCTGAAGAATTGGGACCCTGAAGAAAGAGTCGGTGCTGTCAGGGTGAAGCGTGGGAAGGAGCGTTCTGATACAGGCTCCGGGATTGAGATGGGCTGGTCGGGAGTGAAGTGCTCACGGCACCTGCACCGGAGGACGTTCGGGACAAGTTTGGGGAATAAGGAAGGATTAGAAAGGTCAAAAACTTAAAATAGCTGCCTGTGTCTTAGCTGTTATCTGAAGGTAGCTAGAGTTCTCTTAAGGGGTTTAATAAGTGTTATTTGTTCCTTGAAAATTTTTTTCTTCGTTTGACATTGCTTCTAGCTAAGAGTGGTAGTATATTATACCAGAATCAGTATCGACAAAATTAAATTGCAGTTCCCAAAAAGAGGCCATTTTATAAGGTGGTTTTTTAATTTAAAATTTAAAGATAAATGCTTTAAAATAAAAATGTTTGACTGCTTCATTTTAAAATGTGTTTAAGACTCCATTTTATTTAGGCAAATATGAAAATGTAAAATTTTCGGTAGCTGAAAATCAGAATCAACTTAATTTGCCAGTTAATATTGATCATTATACTTTCTTTTTGATGCGTAGGCATGTAAAGTAGAAGATCTGGGCAAAGTGGATTTTGAAGATGAAATTAAGAAAAGATTTAAGATGGTTTATGTGCCAAATTGGTTCTCAGTAGACTTAAAGACGGGGGTAAGTTAGCAATTGATGTTTGTGCAATTTGGCATAGTGGAAACTTTTAATATAGCTCAATACTAAGTATCGTTAGCTATAGAGTCGTATGTTTTTTAGTGTGAAAGGAAAAAAATTATGTTATTTCTTGCAAAATGTAGTTTAAATGCCTTTTGGTATCCTAGTAAATTAAATTGTATTTGTATTGAATTGCATGAAACACATTTTGGCTTATTAGCACTTTAGTTAAATAGTACAAATAAAAACATGTTTAGATACTTATTTGGAGAATGGATTCAGATAGAGCTGCCCCTGCTGACTTTTTATTTTTGACAGATGTTGACGATTACTCTGGATGAAAGCGACTGTTTTGCTGCTTGGGTCTCTGCAAAAGACGCCGGCTTCAGCAGCCCCGACGGCTCAGATCCGAAACGTGAGTTGTGTCCCCCCCTCTCTCCTCCTTGCGAAAGAGAAAGCGGACCTCAAGCTGTTTTTCACTGTGTGCTCGCCTTCATGAGAGTCTGTGACATTCGGTTGATGATATCTTTGGTCAGTATTCTCCTAAAAATGTGACATTCTCCTGAGAACGTAACCAATCTATACAAAGACAGTTTTAGTGGCTTTATATGGAAATAACCCTTTAAAGAGTGGAGCTCCTACTGCGTTTGTTCATTTTTAAAGGAGGGCTATATCTGAACAGCCAAACAGACAGACTGCGTTGGCTCTACATTACCACCACTTCAAACGTTCTAAGATGAAATTTCAGCAGACTTGGCAAAATCTCTGAAATCTTGGTTTTAAACATCAGTGGCATTGGGTTAACAATTTACCATCAGAATATGTGGAAACGTTTTATTTTTTTCCTTCTATTTTTAGGTGAAAACTAGTAACTTTTTTTCAACTTTTTTATTTTTAATTGACTCTTTTGCAGTGAACTTAGGAGGACTTTTGCTCCAGGCCCTCCTAGAATACTGGCCTAGAACACATGTGAATCCCATGGATGAAGAAGAAAATGAAGTAAACCATGGTTCGTGCTTTTATGTCAGGATAAATCATTTTAAAGTACTCAGAAGTTAAAGAGGCTTAAACTGGTTGTCATTTTAAGAAACATGTTAAGCATTTGCTGAACTGTGCCACAGTGTGTGTGGTGTGCCCAGTGTGTTGCCTGCCTTCCACGTCCCAAAGTAAGACCATCATCCCGTCCCCACTGAATTCTGAGGAGCTTTCAATGAGTGAAACCGGCCCAGATGTAAGGAGAAAGCCCTGTATATTCGCACGGCCTTTGTCCTTGACAGTGGGCAGCTTAGCAGGCTCCTTCCAGAGGCCGACGTCTGGCGTGTCCGCGGCCTGCGGGACTCGTCCTGGTGTTGTCACAGTCCCCGTCAGCCTGAAACGTTGCCATTACCTAGTCCGATGAGCTGCCCGATCTTGGCTGTGAGTGTTTCAAAAAGTCAAATTCCGACTCAGAAGGGTCAGGAAGAGGGAACAGGTGTATAGAAAGAAGTAATATCATGGAAGACATTCAGAAATGGTGTGTGCCCGAGGCCGTCCCCTGGGCCCAGAGGGGACCATGTTTGCAGTATGTGAGTTCGGCCCAGTTGATTAGAGAAGGGGAGACCGAGATCTTAAAATCTGGCAACTCATGTGTAACCTGCAGCTGGTTGAAAATTCCGCTGTCCTGCCTACCGAGGGCTCACTCTGCTGAAGACTCTGAAGTCTCTGAAGGTCCCACTGATGCTTGCCCACTTCCGGTGGTCAGCAGTGACAGGATTTCCTGTGAGAGACTTTGTTCTGCCTGACTGGCTCGTCCACGACGGCTTTTGGAGTTTTAATCTCTCACAGGGATGGCATGCTTCCCTGAAAGCGAGTCTTTCCATGTACTCGCCCCAGAGAAGGCTCTGATCCCACCCACAGGGGTTGTTCTTCTAGGTCTCAAGAACAACCCCGAGAAGCTCAGCACAAAGAGCTCCCCAGAGGGAGGAGAAAGCTAGGCTCTGTCATTTATCAGCTCTGGGGCTGTGAGCTCATCACTTCCTGGTCTTGGCTTGTCATTCTCCTCCTGTGATGTGACAGACAGGATGCCCTCAGAGGCCCAACTGTACAATAAAGACTAAATAATCAAGGAACTAGTACAGTTAGCACCTTTTAGGTCCGGGCTTTGGTTGGGGAGAGTGGAGGAGGAAGTCCCAGGAAACCCCAAATCATTCTTAAAGTCAGACTGCACGGTAAAGGCAGGGCGGCCCCTCCTCACCCGCCTGCCACCTCGCCAGCCAGAGCTCGGGGCACTGCACACTCCTGTCTGGTCCTCTCCCGCTGCACCTGCTAGAGCTCAGCGGGTGCTCGGGAGTTGCCTGGGTTGTACTCGTTGTGCAGCTCGTTATTCAGAGGCCTGCAGTGAAACGAAGGCGAGGTGATGGAGATCAGTGGGCACGGACCCTGTGCTGCAGGACAGGGACCGGCGTTCTGGTAGGGCGGGGGGCTACTTACGCAAAGCATTCCTAAATCAGAAGTGCTGGGTGCCATGACAGAGGTTCCGAAGTGCTGTAGGATTTCAGAGCGTGGGGTTGCTTCCAGATTTGTTCGGGAAATGTTGATGAACAAGTTGGCGCTTAGTGGGGGCCAACTGCTCCTGGGTCAAAACATGACAAAGAAAATAGTGAAGTGAAATCTGTAGAGAACAATAACAGGATTATGACCTCTTCGAGGATTTTATTTTCCACTGATACCTCTGCCATTAGTTATGGCTGCCATTAAACATATTTGTTTTTTCTGGCCCGAGGCAGGCCGAAAACTCTGATCACCATTTACAGATAGGCTGCCTGAGACTTCCTGTGGCTCAAATGAGATGGTTATGTTATTGTTTCAAGTCTCAAATATTAATCTCTTCTATTAAAACCATCTGAAATCCAGTCATTGCCCACGAGGCACGTCACAAGTTGCCATATTTCTTATTTTTAGGAATTTACCTTGGTTTGGGTTTTGTTTTTGTTTTTGCCTTTATTTCTGACACTAGCTGACTTATAGGGCTTTTGACCTTAAAAATCATCCAGTGTTTGAAGCCTTCGTAAACAAAATGTTTAGGGTCTGTGTCCGCAGCACTAACTGCATCTGACACCATCTGTGCCCTTCCTAGTAAATGGGGAGCAGGAGAACCGAGTGCAGAAGGGAAATGGATATTTCCAAGTGCCCCCCCACACCCCCGTGATCTTTGGTGAAGCTGGAGGGCGCACGCTGTTCAGGTACGGGCAAGGGAGGGCTGGGGCCCTGTTAAAAAAGCATTTCATTTGCTAAGAAATATTGTTTCAAATAGATGTTATAAATTGTTTAATTTCTTAGAGGTCTCAGGGACTTGGGAGCTTTCTCATCTCCATGAGACGGTTAAGTGTAGACCACCTTCTAACTGGGAGCTGAGCCTCTACTGTTGAAATGAGGTCGATACCTGGCCTTGAGGCAGCTTCCCCAGTGGTTTCTGCAGGAAACCCTCACTTCCCCTCACCTAGCCAGTGTGGCTGCGGTCAGGGAGCAGCTGGCATCACCAGAAGTCCCCGTCCTCAGGACAATGTCAGAATAGGTAACATCCCTCCCGCTGGGTCAGGCAGATGGACTGGGCTGCTCCTGGGAACTGTCGGGCCCAACAGTGGCCTAGCGGGAGGTGCGAGGCTGACCTTCGTGAGGTCCTGCAGGAAGGAGCTAGGCCGGCTTTGCCCCACGCTGCCAGCAAGGCCCTGGGGAGTTGGGAGCGCTCACCGGCCTTCTGTGGACCGCAAGGGGGAAGAAAGCTTGTCTTGCCCTTGAGCACAGACTTGCTCCTTTGCGGTGGTTTCCTGAGGGTGTGGTTACCAGACACATCCTGGCCCCGACATCACACGAGGAGTGGGAGAGGCGGCCCTGGTGTATGCCCCGTTCAGAGCCTGGGGCCTGAGCTCTGGGGCCCGAGCTGTCAGCGGAACAAGTCGTTCTGCCTGGCTGCCTGTGTTTCCTCGACGGAGGGGGGGCCGTCCTGAGTGAACTCTAAGGGCCTTATCCCTCCGTCTAATGTTTGTAACTGCGGTTTTGTCACCTGTGCTTGCTGGGTCACTTACTGCCTGTGGATGTGTTTAGGCTGCTGTGCCGGGACTCTGGAGGTGAGACCGAGTCGATGCTGCTGAATGAGACGGTGCCACAATGGGTAATCGACATCACTGTGGATGTAAGTGTCCTCCACTCCCACTTTGCCCTTGTATTTTTTTCAAATTGTGAACGAAATTCGGTCCTGGTTTAAACCATATAACCTTAAACTTAAATAAACACTAGACTGTGAAAGAAAACATGAAGTGCCAAAAAGTTAAATGTATGACGATGCCCCCGAATCCTCGTGCTCCAGCTTAATCAAGTTTCCGCCTCCCGAGGCCCCACCAAGAAAAGTTCAGTAGGTGTAGCCTTCCCGCTGCAGCTGCTGAGCCTGGGGGACTGTGCCAGTGACGAAGCCAAAGTCCCATCTGTCCGCAATGTGCCCTTTGCCACCACTGGGGCCACTGCAGAGTGGTGCCAGTGCCAGTGCCAGACTGGTGGGCACATCTGCAGTGACTGCTGTTCTCTGCCTCAGGGGGACCAGGTGGCATCTGGTGAGGGCCACCTGCCGTTCTGCCAGTGGGTACAGGAGCTGCCCTGGCCCCCGTGACACCCTCTCAGCACCCTAAGGCCCAGGGTTCCCGTGAACCTCAGAGGCTTCTGTTTTTGTGTCTTTTTAGTCGGGGAGAGGGGAGGGAGCTCCCATTATTTTTTTTTATATTAAAAAGCACCCCCCACCCAGAGGGTCCTGTGTCTCTGAGCCCCATTTCAGAGCCCCTCAGGCCTCTGTCCGTGCACCCCCTGGCCCTCTACTGTCTCACTTTTTTTGTCTCACTTTTGTGAATAAATTTATTAAGGAAAAAAAAAAAACCTAGACTGCCAGGTGGAATCCTCTTCTGCTTCCTTGTAGTTCCAAAGTTGCAGAAGTACTGTTGATATTTATTTGTATTTTTGTTGGTTTTTAATTATAAAAACAGTAGATGTGTATTAAATAAATAAATAAACACAGTGAAACTCCCATCCCTTTCTCAGTCACTCCTCTTCCATTCGCTCCCCAACCTTTCCCCAGAGGTAAGAACTGTAATGGGCCAGAGTGTAGCCATTAGTACTTTTCTTTCTCTTACATAAGCATGTATTATCTGTAAATATGCTTATAGTGTATCTTGCACAGGTTCTTATTACACATACTGTTCCTACACAACTTGTTTTGTTTTTACTTACAAATAGATCTTGAACATTTTTCATGTCTCTACATATGGATCACTTCTTTTAAATGACTCTAATATTCCATTGTGTAAATGTACCATAATTTATTTAACCAGTACCCTACTGATGGGCGTTAAGGTGGTTTCCAATGTTTTCTATTACAAACAGTGCTTCAGTGAACATCCTTGTACATACATCTTTGTGTGCTTCTTAGGATAAATTCCTAGAAGTGGAGCTGCTGGATCAAAGGGTGTGCACATTTTAAAGTCTTATAGCTGCTGCCAGATTGCCCTGCACAAAGGCTCTACCAGTTTACATTCTCACCAGCCCTGCATGAGTCCCTCTTTCCCCACACCCTCACCAGCACTGGATACTTTTAGTCTTTGCTAAAAGATAGGCAAGTACTATCTCAGTGTTTTAATATGGTTTGGGGTTTTTTGTTTGTTTTCTAAAGATTTTATTTATTTTTAGAGAGAAGGGAAGGGGGGAGAAAGAGGAGAGAAAACATCAGTATGTGAGAGAGACATCCATCAGTTGCCTCTTGCCCGTCCCCAACTGGGGACCTTTCAGTTCCCAGGCTGGCACTCAGTCCACTGATCCACTCCACCCAGGGCTTGTTTTGGTGTTTCTTTTAAGTTTAGTGAGGTTAGGCATCTTTTCATATTGGCCGTTTCTATTTCTTTTGTGAATTGCCTGTCTGTATTCTTTACTCATTTCTCCATTGGGTTATTTGTCTTTCTTATTATAGGTTCTCTTCAAATCAAACATTAACCCTTTGACTATTATCTATGCCTCTCAATTGAATTTTTACTTTATTCATGGTATTGTTGTCAGGTGAAGTTTAATTTTACATAATCAGGTTGAATCTTTATGTTCTGAGTTTCATGTCTTGCTTAGGTATCTCCCACTCCAGCCTAGCAAAAATGCTCCATATTCTCCAGTATGTTTGTGATAATCGATTGTGTTTAGGTCTATAATCCATTAGCATTTATTTAGTCTGTGTGATGTAGGATGTTAACTTTTTACAAATGGATAGCCGGTGTTGCCAACACAGTGTTTTAGTAATCTGTCCTTTTTCTAATTTGAAATGCTTTGTCACATGCCAAATTTCTGTATGCCCAAGGGTCTATTTCTAGACTCTGTTCTGTACTGTTGGCCTATTTTGTATATTCCTGAAGCCACACGAAAAGAGATTTAATCTCTAGAACTTTAGGAAATGTGTGCTCTGTCCCAGGTATACTACCTCCAAGCACTAAAGCCTGGTGACACCTTGTGGATGCTCTGTGGTCCCCCCTGAGCCCGGGCTCCCCAAACACCACTCCTTTCTTTGGGCGTGAAGTCAGCTGGGTGCAGCGCTCGCTTTAGCCCTGTGGTTTGTTCCTCCGAGGAGACGTCCAGCTAGGACATGGCACGGAGGCTCGGAGGGCATTCATTGGTACCCCGAGACGACCAGTGAACTTCGCCCTTCACCTAAGCACGTGGTTTACTTCACGGTGGGCAGACGTCTAGGTGGCTGATTGACGTTCCCGTCCAGTGTAAAACCATAGACCTCGCTCTGACGTCAGAGGGAAGGAAGGTGGGAGGGCCTGGCCGGCCTTGCAGCTGGATGGCAGGCCCCCCAGCACAGAGTGCGCGGTTGTGCTCAGGCGTGAATGCTGTGGGTTTCTCTCAAGACACGTAGTTTTTTGTTTGGACCTTTAGGGATTAGTTCTGGTATTTTTATGTGGAACTGAGATTTGGGGTTTGTATGGCTTGAAGAATTAAAATAAAACATGACTCCCTTTAATACCTTGAATGGTTATTTGAAAAGAGCCGTGCTAGCAAACTCACATCACCACTGACATTACCTGGTGTCTTCTCCTTACACAACTAAACGTCGTGCTTGTCTGATACACTTCGTCTGAGGCTGACTTAGATAATTTGGTAGCTTACTATAAATTTCATAGAAAGTGACTTGTAATTGTGAAACAACTATTAACTTATAAATCGTGTTTTCCTGTTGACATCATTTAAATTTATCAGCTAATAGAAACTATGCCATTTTTTACTTTTACTATTTCAGAAAAATATGCCCAAATTCAACAAAATTCCTTTCTACCTCCAACCTCATGCATCTTCAGGAGCAAAAACCTTAAAAAAGTAAGTAAATGTTGTGTCATATGATGCTTTGATCTAATTAATTACCAGAGATGTTTTTTTAAATTTCTTACTGCTCTTATAGCAAAGGAGGCCAGTACTAGATCTAAGGCTAGCTTTATATTAACACTTTATACAATTTAATCACTTACCAAGTATCTACTGTGGTAGGCTAGGGATGTCCAAAAGTAAGACATGGATTTTGTGTCTTGCCATAATTCAGCGTAATGCACGGTCTGTGTAGTAACTGTCTTATGGATACTTATGAGCAGAGGGGAAAGAAGTGAAGTTCTGAGTAGTGCTTTCCAGACAGGTTTCTCAAAGGACACAGGATTTGAGCTGGGCACGTGAGGACGGGTAGGACTTCAGAGGAGACATCCCACATCCAGGAAAGGCGTGCTCAGGGATGCGGAGGCACATACAAGACACTGAAAGTCAGGCAGGGCCCGCAGAGTGGCGGCCTGGGCTGCGGGGTGGCGGGAAAATAACCAGGAGGGAAGTCGGAGAAGCACGTAACAGGTTTCATTGATGTATATCCTAGCAAAGAAAGTCAGCAAAGCTTTAAAACCTTTTGTCGGAGACATTTCCAAACACATAAAAAAGAGAGTAGGAAAACGAAGCCCCATTGTCCCGTCCTACAGCTTCAATAATTCTCCACACACGGCTAAACATTTTGTTTCACCTGCCTACCTACCATCCTACCCACCGGCCCACACATGCCCACACATGCGCAGGAGCAAGTCCTAGATGTCACTTCAGCTGGATTTGATGACCCTAAACTCAAGATGGCTTTCAGAGTTTTAGCCTGGGCTTGCTTGGTTTGACCATTTGCTGACACCAGAGACACAGAAGTAGGTTTGGGGTGAGGAGATAGATGAATCTAGATTTGGACATGTGGAGTTTGAGGTTCCTGTGGAACAGCCACGTGGAGATACCCAGTCAGCTGTGGGGTTTGTGGGTCGGAGTTCAGGCAGGCGGGGACTCCAGGTCTCGGTGTGGGAAGGCAGGCCCGGGAGAAGTGAGCACTGCGTGTACCGGAGCCTGGGCGCCCTGGGGAGGCCTTCCCTGCCAGGGGCGCTGCGTCTGCCCGTGCTCTGGGGAAGTCTTCAAGGGAATAAAACCCAGAATGCTGTTCTTCATGTGTGTCAGTTCTTTAAGAACATGTATGTAATCTCAGTAGAGCATAATTCTGTCCTGAAAGGACACTATAAACAATCTGTTGGCACTTCTAAAAATGGATTAAGGCAATGACTAAAAATTTTACTGTTTTTGTGTTTCTGGGGTATGTTTTCATCTTTATCAAATGTTAACACCAGGTGACATGGAAGAGGTAGTATCCAGCAATTTCCTGATGTCACAACCTGCCCTTGCTTTTTACAGAGACAGACTCTCTGCTAGTGACATGCTCCAGGTCCGGAAAGTGATGGAACACGTTTACGAGAAAATCATCAACTTGGATAATGAGTCTCAAACCACCAGCTCTTCTAATAATGAGAAACCAGGAGAACAGGAGAAAGAGGAGGACATTGCTGTGCTAGCAGAGGAGAAGATTGAACTTCTGTGCCAGGACCAGGTACGGGGGCTTCTGGACCATCGCCCGCTTCTCCAGGGCCAGTGCTCCAACAGTTAGGCAACAGGGTGTAATTATGGTCCCGAGTCTCTTGCCTTTGGTGGGGCTTCTGCTTTTAAAAAGACTGTGAGGAACTCTGAAGGCCTCCCCCCATTCGTGAGGCTCCAAACGAGACACAGGACCATCTTGGTTTGCAGAACAGGCTCAGCTGTGTTAGTTTCAGACTGGGGCGGAGGTGGGGGAGCTGCTTTAAACCAAGATGTACTCGAGGCCTCCCTCCAGGGGAGCAGCTGAAGCCGGTGTGGCTGGCCTGGCCCCGCAGCTGCGCCTCTGCCCGTACCCAGGCCCGTGGCTACATGCGGGGCAGCTGTGTCGGCAAGAGCAGGCCACCACGGGGCTCAGGGAGAGGACATGCTGGGTCACCTGATGAGGCCTGGGTTAACAGTAAAGGTTGTAGCTGTTGGAGGCTTTGACATTTTTATTTTTTGCTGTTCAGGTTCTGGATCCCAACATGGACCTTCGGACAGTGAAACACTTCATCTGGAAGAGTGGCGGTGACCTCACCCTCCACTATCGGCAGAAGTCCACGTGAAGGGCGGCGGGCCTCCTGGGTGCTCCTGACTGACCTTCCTCTGGCCCCAAAAGTAGACCCAAGAAGCCCCACTGAAGCCCAGTGGGGTGAGACTTCTACCGGCCGATTGGGTATGGACCAAGATTCTCTTTCCATTGAAGTGACTAATCGAAATGTAACATAGAAACCAGTCTCCTGTGTAGATTAAGCTGTCCCCAGGGAGGCAGAGGACGAGAGCAGAAGAACCCCCAGCCAACTGTGTCTTGTGAGATGTACCAAGACCCGACGGCGGGCCAGGCTGCACAGACTGGGCTTCCTGCTTTCATTTCAAAGGACCTGATCTTTGTCAGCACTTGTTAGAGACACACTGGTAAGGCGTACGTGTCACTGTTTCAACTTCAAACACACCGTGTAGCTTTTCCAAGTACATTCCGTTCACGCAGTACCTAGGAAGGCTTTTCCAAGTTTGTCATTAAAAACAAACAAATTTTCACCACTTAAAACAGTCATTTGTAATAGGAACTTGCCATTGCGCAATTCTAAAGCCAGCCCGTTTCATAAGTGACCATTGTTGGGCTAGTTTTAACACTGCCCCCGAGACGTGTCCTCCTAGGAGCGTCTGTTGGACGTCCAGGGGCTGCAGCACAGCACTCGGAGCCTGTGCCCAGTGATGCTGCAGCACGCCCAGGGCCCCGGACTGGACGGCAGCCACGGGAAGGCAGCTGTTTCCTGCCTTCCTCTACTGTGTCGTTTATTTAGGGGCAAAACTAGGTGACACCCCAGGTTCGTGCTCTGGATGAGCAGCAAGGCACCATCAGAACTTAAGACCATGATGAAATTTAAACTTTATTTAAATGCTGCCTAAATGTATGGTGTCAGTAGGAGGTCATGGTGAGTTAATTTGATAATTCATAGCCTGGAAATACACATACTTGTTTTTCCAGAGTTTTATATGCAGGTTTTGTTGTTGTTGTTGTTGTTGTACCTATATCGATTTCTTTTCACTGTTCTAACGATCTAAAGCTTTCAGAGACTCATTTGGATCTTGTACAGAGTATAACTTATTGGGGATAAACACTTCAGCTTTTGGCAGAAGAACACACTTTGGATTCTCCCCGAGGCCATATGTATTCAGACTAGAACAATGGCCCGCCCGATCAGACTACCCAAGAGAAGCCTCCTGCATGAAGCCAGAAGCACAAGTGCCTTCAGAGGGCAGTCTATTCCAGTCCAGCAGCCCCCGCCCCCCCACCTGTGCGCGGCCTGTGCCCACGACAGCAGGACTGGGGAGGGGGTGGGGAAGGGTTTCTCGTCTGCACCCTCACAGGTACAGACAGCTAGCTGACAGGCCTGGGTCAGACCTTCCCGTTCGATACTCTGATTCGCACAACTGCAGAAACAGGGTTCCCTCACTGCTGGGCAGCCTCCTAGGACAGTGGACAGCTCATTGCCTCTGGCTCTGAAGACATGAGCAGAGACGCGCCACCTTTCCACTGAGTCCTTCTCCCCTACGCAGAGCAGCGGCTTCTTTTTTAAACAATCCTTTCTATCTGTTGGATACATCAGTGCACCTTTGGTGCACATTTTTTAGCAATAGTTGTGAATTAATGTCAAAAAAATCAGAAAGAACGCATCTGCCAGCCCTCAGCTGTGTTTGACGAGGGCCCTGGACGGCCCTGGGTTGTGCCCTGTGTGCGGAGCCTCGAGGGGGGCTGCGCTCCCCCACCCCCACCTCCCCACCCCCGCCGTAGACGTGACCCCAGCATGGTTGTACTTTTCTTTTCTCCCAGTTAAACCAGTAAGTTCCCAGAAAATAGGAGTCTGCCAAAAGGGTAAAAAAAAAAAAAAACAGATGGTATTTCAGTTGTATAGAATAAAGGCTTTAGTTAAAATATTCAAAATGTAGTACATGTTATTTTTTTCACTTGTCATTTCCCCTCATAGCAGATTATAGAGAAGTTAAGAAACCTCTGGCTTCACAATGACCCTGGAAATCACTAGCACTGATAACCGTTTTACCCTCCCATTTGGGCCAGGAGTGTGTAGAGTGAGGAAGCCCAGACCCTTGGGTGGGGGTGACTTTGCCGAGACTGCCAGGCCGCAGCTAAAGGAGGCTGCCCACCGAGCAGTCCCGTGGTGATTCTGTCCTAGTCCTGGTTCCTGCAGGGGACCCTGGGCTCCCAGACAGCCTAGGAACCAGACTCCAGAAGTGGCTTTGGACACAAGGCCTCCCTGTCTTGTAAGCTCATCTGTGCTGGTGGCCCTGACAGGGTTTGCTTTGAATGTGGTCAGAATGCTAGAAACTTCCAAGTGTTTGCTGGTTTGGGTCCTTCCTGCCATGTACTTGATCTGTGCTCCCCAGAGCTGACAGTCCTTGTGCTACAGGCCTGACAGAGCTCGAAGTTCCCTTTTCAGTGCAGACATTACAAATTAAGCAGCAAAGAGGGTACTTTAGATGGATAGAGACTAGAAGACAGGGCCAGAGGCAGCTTTCTCAGTAATAAGCCGGGCGTGTGGGAAGGATTCTAGCCAAGCAGGAGAGGATGCCAGGTGATGGAAGGGCCTTCCTAGGGGAGCCACCCCTTCCTGCGGGCCGGGCAGAAGGCCCACCCTAGCCTTAGCCTCCCAAGGCACCCCAAGCCTCCCAAGGTGGAGGGAGGAATGGCCTCCCCGCCCCCCACTCCTCCCATGCATACACGGTACTGTGGGAAAGAACAGAAAGGCCCTTATCCACTCTTGCCCAAGCCTGTCATTTCCCCTTGTGGTGGGAGCTGTGTGGTCCAGTCCTGACTGGCTCTGAGAGTCCGCTTAGGACGGCGGAGTTAAACTTGTAACTCAGTCAGCACCGGGACTGGCTGGGTGCCGTGCGCGCGCATGTGTGTGTGTAAGACACAGCCGTGTGAATTTGGGAGGAGAAAGGACTCACCAGTGGGATATGAGGTCTGGGGTGCAGGCCCTGGGGAGGAAGAAACATCGGGGTCTACGCACAGGTGAGTCTCTGCTGAAGGGCCTAGAACTTCCTGCCCTTCTCTCCCAGGAGGGGTGGGCAAGTTCACTGCCTCTCCCCTCCCGCTGTGGCTGGCAGATGTCGGTCAGCCTGAGCCAACTGTGTGCAGGGCGGCACAGGGAGGGATGCGGCACATGACAAGAGAGACAGTATTAGGCCTCCAGGGGTTCCCTGGGTTTGGGCGTGCCTTCTGGTGCAGAGCGGGCCGGCTGAGCTGTGCAGGAGAATCACGGCAAGCTCTACAAAGCAACCCGCAGGCACCCCGTCGCCACACCTGATGCTGCCTGGACCCCGCTGTCTCCTGGGAAGCCACAGAGGCCAAGCGGAGTAAGCACTGGGCCTCGGGGTACATGGCCAATAGATGCCCTTCCCCAAGGCCCAACCACCTCTTACTACCCACTGAGGCATCAACCCCACACAAGCAGCAAGGAAGTCTTCCCTCTACTACCCCAACTCCCACACAACCGAGTCAACCTAGGGGGCTGCGCCCAGGTGCCTGCCCCCGAAAGGACGTGTCTGAGATCCGCCAGCAGGTGCCCAGTTCCCCAAAGCCAGGACCATCACGCAGAATTAATGCTGGGAGGTCATTTCTTGGAGATCGGTAGGGTCTGAGTGGATGCAAGAGCCCCCCCACCATCAGGAGTCCCTGCACGTCCCTCGGAACCACAGCCTAGGAGGCTGGACACACTAGGCTGGGGTCAGGCAAGGAGCTGGGCCCAAAGTGTGCCCTGAGCCACCTCCCCATATCTGGGCCTCTCAAAATGCCATCAGGGGCCTTGTCATCGCCCAGGGTGTTATTCCGGGGTAGAAACCTGGGCCTGGCTGGCTGCCCCCTCAGCCTCAGCCTCGGCCTCAGCCCCGACATCTGGACTCGCCGCACTTGCCGGCTCCTCCTCGGCCTGAGCCTCGAGCAGCTCAGCAGACAGCCCATCTTCTGGCGAGGCTGCAGAGGTGAGGCTGTCGGGAAGGGTCAGCTGAGGCAGGTGGTCCTGCTGGGCCTGGGCGCCTGGGCTGTCCGGGAAGGAGACCTCAAACTCCGACCCAGACCATGTGGCCTCACCTGGAACACACAGGATGGGGCTGTGGAGGCCTGTGGAACCTGGGGCCAGTGTGGCCTGGGCGATAACCCCACTGGCCCCCCACGAGAGAGCTAGTGTACAAACTCGGGGCAGCCCTCCCGGAAGCCCTTCCCAGAGGCCTCCGAGGGTGCGGGCCACTCACCGCCACGCTCATGAGAGCCACTGCTGGAGCAGACGTCCTCCAGCCCCGAGGCTGATGCAGCGGTGGAGGTCAGCCCTGGGAAGGAGGGCAGGCTGGGCCAGACGCTGGCACTGCTGTCCAAGACGGAGATGCCTGACACGTCCAGGAAACCTGGGGGAAAGACCCCGCTCTGTCAGCACGAACCCTGACTGCTGAGGACCTGGCTCTGCCCGTTTCGGAGCATCTGGCTCAGCCTGAGACTAACCGCAGCCACTGGCGGTGCCGCCCCCCGACCCAAAGGGGTTTCCCTCCGCCTATTTCCGGGCAAAGAAAGGGGCCTGGCACTGGGCACCATGGGAGTAGCACAGTGGCAGAGGGCCCAGACCCCTGCTCTGTCCCCAGTTGGCTGTGACCTTAAGCAGGTCGCCTGCCTCCCGTGGACTCCAGCTCCCCATCCATACCCTGGATTAGGTCACCTGCGACCGTCTTGGCGTACAGTAGAAGTCAGTAGATCTGAGGATGGTTTTGGTACTGTCGCCAAAGTCCGGCCCTGAGCCGGGGAAGCCCATTACTCAGCCTCCCACCGAGGGCCTGCTCACTACCTGGGTCCATGACTCGCTGCACTGGAGGCGGAGGCTGAAGAGGAGTCTCCATGGGACGCAGAAGCCCCCCAAGGTCTGGTGCACCATAGCCGAGGCTCGAAGGCTCAGGAAGCAGCCCCTCTACGGAGGAGCCAGGTGCCTGCAGCAGGGCCTAGCGGAGCCAGGGAAGAAGAGGGGCCTGGGAGAGGGCCGCCGGGACGGTGTCGTCCCACCCGGCCCCCAGCCCCTGCTTGCCCCAGAAGCACTGCTCTGCCTGGAGGAACAAACCACCTTGGTGACCGGCCCCCTCTCTGCAGGTGAAGTCAAGTCAGACAGGGCCCTGTTGGCCTGCTCCGCAGCACCGACACGGAGGGGGGAGCACTCTTGCCACCCTGCCGAGGAGCCCAGGTGCCATCTGGCAGGGTCCCACCGATGACCCACAGGAAAAGAGGGTCCTCCTTGAGTTCCAGCATGCCTGGCAAGCAGGCCTCGTGTGTGGTCAGTACAGATCCCAGGCACCAGCCCAGGGCCTGAAGGCTCTCAGGTGACCTGCTCAATCAACAGCCATGAAGGCACGGCCAGACTGCCCTGCACGCTCAGCCAGACAACCGGCCCAACTGGGGCTCCGGGCACCCGGCCCCGGGACCGACTCTACCGCTGACTCAGGAGGCACAGAACATGGCTCTGCCTCCCTCTGAGCTTCAGGTGCCCACTCACAAAATGTAAATGACAGCGAGGGCCTCCCACTGCCCTCATCTCCCAGCCTAAGTGGCAGGAAAACCAAAGAGGGTCTCACTGTCCCAGAATGGGTCCGTCCACCCCCACTGGGTCCAGAGGCAGAGGGAACTCCAAAGGGCCCCACAGACAGGCCCCAGTGAGAAAAGCCTCCAGAATCTTCTCTCTCCCTAGTAGACAGGCCCCTCTGTCCATGTGAAGCTCCCCACTTCCCCCCTGTGGACAGGTGTGTCCCACGTACCTCCATGTAGCCACCCTGCCTGGCACCCGTATCTGGGCCAGGAGGGACAGGAGAGTCCTGGGGGGTGGGTCCAGGTGACAAGGTACCAGATGGCAGAGCACCTTGTGATGGGGTACCAGGTGGTGGGGTACCAGGTTGCGGGACACCAGGTGGTGGGGTACCAGGTGGCTTCTTGTGGTAGCTGGGGGGCTGGATTGGGATCCGATGCAGGTATCCATAGCCGATACCACACCCCAGACTGCCAAAATCCAGAATTCAGTCCAGGAGTTGTCCCGCAGCCCTTCCAATCAATCTCTGTCACCCCCACCCACCAGTGGCGGTGAGGGGGCTGAAAGGGTGCTTCCAGGACCGAAGGCCAGCCTCAGGGTCTCTGGGACCAGGGTCCAGTCCTCTACGCCCACTATGGGACTCGGGTACATGCCCACTGGCTAGGCCCATCCAGGGACCCACCCTGCAGCCTCCCCTACCCCCCGACCCCAGGAAGTACCTGCCCTCTCCACCCCAGGCGGCATTGGGAGTCACAGACACCTCCCGGCAGGAATCGGACTCCGAGTTATAAACCATCAGCTTCAAGGGCTTCCCCTCATGGGACTCGATGAGAGTGAAGAAGTCCTCAGACTGTGACAAACACACAGCACCTGAAGCCTGCTCCCCGCACTGGCACTGGAAGCCCCGCGGCCAGCACCGCTGTCTCCACACCCCGCCCAGCAGCCGGAGCAGGGCTGGGCCTTGGGTTCCTCACCTCCTGGAGCAGCTGGTCGGAGCCAATCACATAGTCTGTGTAGGGGCGCAGGCCAGCAAGGGAGGCGGGTGAAGAGGGTTCCACATCCTGGCGGAAGAATTAAAAACTACTGGCCTCGCTCCTGGAGTGGTGGAGGGGCCAGGGAGCTGCCTCTCCAAGTAGTCAGTAGGACACTTGTCCTCTGTCCCCAGGTCAAGGCCTCGAGCCCAGACTGTCCTGTCTCACTCCTGAACTCCCCTGCCTCCCCCAGTGGAGTGGTCCACTACTCGCCCAGCAGAGGGCAGCACTGGGGCACAGCTCACAACACAGCACAGAATCTGAGCTGGGTTCACCTCCAGACTCCACCAACTGCTAGCTTGGTGACTCTGGACAAATACTTAACCCCTCAGCCTCACTTTCCCAGTGATTAAATGCAGGACATGTACTGCTTACTCACACAGCTGCTGAGAAGGCTTTAAAAATAATACATGTAGAGAACGAAAACCACACTCTGGCCTACAGTAAGTGCACAGCTGCATTGCTGCTAATGCTGCAGGCGTGTAGATGAAGACCCCTAAGCAGGGGTTGGGGGGGGGCAGTGAGCAGGACTGGGAACGAGGACTGCTTTCTCCATCAGAGAGGACCCTGGAAAACTCAACCACCCCATCTCCTAGAGAGATGCAAAGGGCTTTGTTTTGCATATGGACACGCTGAGGAAGGCTGAAAAAGGTCGAGAAACCTCCCCCAAGAAGCCCGTGAGCACAGGGGAGGCTACAAAAATCAGCCAGTTTCCAGCCAGCTAAGGGCACCTGCCTGTCCACCAAGCTGGAAGACCAAGCATTCTTGCGAACTTGGGCAGCATCCATGGACACACATCTTACATGTACACTTGTATCTGTGACAATGCAGTCACTGCTATTCACTAAGGTCAGACCCCAGGGACCTGCCAGAAAGAAACACTCTATGGAAAGACGGAGGCCGCAGCCCCAGCCGCAGCCCCAGCCTCAGCCACAGCATTCTGCAGTACAACCCGCCTTCCAGTAGATGGCAGCCCAACCTTTCAAAAAACTAAATGGTCTGGAGCTGCGATTTTCAAGCTTTTTCATCTCAAGGCACAGGTAAACAAATGACTAAAATTCTGTACCGCAACAAAAAAATGTATTTTTTGCCATTATGACAAAAAATAGATATAATGTCAATTCATTCACACCTGCCAGCTATTGTTGGGTTGGCTGTTATCTTTTCCCTTTTTGACAATCTAAGGAAAAGAGGCCAGTGCTCAAGTAAATACTGAGGTATTGCATGTTTTAAAAGTTCTTGTGGCTCACCAGTTGAACATTGTTGGCACAGAGGGTTAAAAAATGCCCCAAGTCACATGGCTAACAAGAAACAAGGCACCTGGGCAAGTAAAGGGCTGCCCCTCTGGGGCGCTGGAGTGAGTGAGACCAGACCCTGCGCTCAGAGAGTCCTCTAACAGACCCCTGGCCCTGGCCTTATCCCAGCTGCCTCCCCCACACCCCCGTGTCTGGCCCCATCACCTTCCCCGCAGGCCCTGCCCATGCAGTACAGGCCCAGCAGCCGACTCGCCGCCCCACCCCACCCATGCCCCGCCCCCACTCACCAGCACGTGCCACACGTGCTCGTTGGCCCTGTGGAAGCTGCAGAACCGCACGCTGGCGCCCAGCAGGCCCGGGCCGCCCCACATGTTGCTGGGCACCACCTCCACCTCGCGCACCTTCATGGTCTTCATGTTGAACACCTCCAGCTTCACGGGCTTCTCCACGTTGGCTTTCAACAGATCCCTCAGGGTGTCAGTCTCCTTGTTCTATGGGGGCAGAGGGCTGACTCCAAGGACGGCCCCCTCCACACCCAGGCTGGGCCACTCAGACAAGTCTGGGTCTGAGATGGGGCAAGGACCTTGGTGGCCAGCTGCCCCAGCAGGGCCTGGTGTGGATGGGCTGGGGCGGTGTCTGGGCCCAGGTCACAGGCCATGCCCGGGCCTGCAGCCACTGTAACCCTCACCCCCCAAGCAGTGCTAAACCTGCCCCGCACAGCCCCCTCTCCCACCCCAGAAAACACAACAAAGCAAAGAGACTGCCAGCCAGGCCCAGGGCACGGCAGCACTGTCCCACTCTGAGCTGCCCCTCGGCTGGAGCCCACACGCCTCTCCTGCCCCAAGAGGCAGGCTCCTTAGGCCCTGAGGCCACTCCAGGAGTCCGACGGCCCACCCTGGATCTCAGGAGCTGAGATCCGGCAGGGCCTCCCTCTGGAAGAAAAGGGAGTCAAGAGCTGGGCGGACACGCGCGCGCACACACACACCAGTGACACAGCAAGGTCGAGACAGGGTGAGGGGCTCACCAGCCGCGAGTGCCCGATGGTGATGATGAAGTCGAAGTAAGGCTCCAGGCCCGCCTGCTGTGCTGGTGAGTTCTCCTGCACCTGTCGAAGGGCAGGGGCCAATCACCACCAGCCCAGTGACCTCCCAGAAGCCCTAGCCTTCAGTTTTCAAGACTGCCACCACTCCCTGCGTCCTGACGAGGAAATAGGCACTGGCATGAACTGTTCTGGAGCAGCCATCTGTGGCCACTGTCACGGTGAACTCCATCCCCTCTCACTCTGCTCCCGGGCACAGATTTTCCTCTTTAGGGAAATGGCTGTCCCCTAGACATGAGCTGCAGGTCATGCTCCCAGAGAGGCCGTGTAGGGCTGTCCTGCGGGCCACTTGTAGGCCACGTGGAGCAGGGGGGCGCAGGCCTGTGGGGAAAGCCAGGAGGGCTTCCCAGAAAGGTTTAGATGTGGACAGAGAGGGCGGGCCCAATGTCCAGTGGAAGTGGGCCGGCCTAAGGATCGCTAGAACCAGGGCTGTGTCCGTAAAGAGGCAGCGTGGCAGGCAGCCTGTGGCCGGATCCCAGAGGGCCCCAGGCCCTGTGGTGACAGGTCCAAGGTCAGCCCAGCAGGTGATGGGAGCTTCTGAGGAATGGTGGCCGAGGAGAGCAGACCCCAGGGGCAGGAAGAGGCCTAAGCTGGAGAGCCTGGTGAGAAGGGCCAGATGGGGCAGACATCTGCTCCAGGAGCCCACGGGGGCTCCCTCCCAGCCCTGCCCGGAACAACCAGGGCTGCAGCTCCGGCAGAAGTCCCTCTCAAAGGCCCCATTGACAGAGCCTTGCTCTAACAACGTGGCCTTTATCCCCAGGCCCCAACCTCGAAATCAAAAATGGGCTCCACACCCTCAGGCCTTTGGCTGTGCGCACTTGATGCCCTGCTGGTTCAGTACCTGCCAGGCCCCAGCCCAAAAGACAAAGGGCTCATGGGGCCTCTGGTTCTGGATACCCTGAGGCTTCTGCCACCCATCAGCCCCTCCGGTCCCACATGCCCCAAGCTGATGAAGGCTCACCACCGAGCCTTCGGATCAAAGCCCATTCGGCTCTGGAATCGGGACTCCTTTGTAGCAGTGTCACCAGATGAACCCCTGCTTGCCACCTGAGGATGCCGCCATGGCTTCCAGTAAGAGCAGCCACTGGAGCCCTAGTGAGCCTGGCTCGGAGGGCAACTGCCCGGAGGCCCTGCTCCCCACCCCTTTTGGGGGAAAGCTGGGACCAGGTGGCTTTTGAAAACCAAAGGGCAATAATCAGAGACAGCTTGGGGAGAGGTGTCCCTGCTCGGGGCCTCTCCCGAATCATTCCACCTCCCTCTGGTAAGAGCAGTGTCCAACCTTTTGGCATCTCTGGGCCACACGCTAAATATACAAACGCTAACAAAAACTGATGAGCAAAAAAAAGGTTTTAAGTGAATTGATGATTTTGTGTCTGGCCACATGTGGCCTGCAGGCTGCAGGTTAAACACAAGACTCTGCTCCAGAAGCCCTGCCACCCAGCACCTGCCCACTATGGCTGCTCTCCAATCATTAATCACGTCCAGAGGCTCGGGTCCCTCCCCGCCCCTCCTTCTCCAGGCCCAGCCTCCCACCCCCACCCACCAGAACCTCTGCCTACCCTCTCCTGTGGCCTCATCCTCTATCTGGCTGTATTCACTGCCCTTGCCCTGGGCCCTGGCATTGTGCACCACGGCTCTGCAGCGGAAATAACCTATGCTGCTGCCCACTGCACCCCTGACACACACCCCCAGTCCCACAACCAGCACAGCTCTGCCTGGATCTCCCTTAGGGGGATCCCATCACACCCAAGCCCACAGCCCACAGGCCCCACCTGTGTTCCCCATCAGGGAACCTCCTGTGATTAACAATGACAGCAGCTCATGCTCAGTGAGGGCTGGCTGGGCGCCAGGGGACAGCACCACCTGCTTTGCATTTCACCCTTTTCCTAGCCCCTACTCAGTGCTCAGTTATTCAGGAATCTGACCCCAAGAACCCCGCCCCCGCCAGAGCCTGCTGGAACCACTGCCCTGTGCTGCTGTTTCGGGCTGAGCCCTCCACTGCGGCTGGCTCCCTGAAAGCAGGGGCCTCTCTGGTGTGCTTGGTGCACAGCAAAACACCAATAGTTCTAGGCAGCATACCTGCTCTTCAGTTTTTAAAAATGTGAACAATTAATGTCACCTCTCCACTTAAAACCTCCCAATGGCTCCATGTCTCATAATGAAATCTGAAATCTTCAGGACAGCGTGCAAGGCCACGAAGTCCAGCCTCACCCTTTCCGCCTCCTCCTCACTCAGGCCACACTGTCCCAGCACAGCGGCCTCTCCTCCGACCTTCACCTCAGACACAGTGGGCACACCCCCACCTCAGGGCCTCCACCCCCTCCAACTACCTCCACAGAACACTCCTCCCCCAGACGCCTATATTGTGTCCTTACTTTCTTCCCAGGATTCTACCAAACGTGACCTGATTGGAGGTGTTCGTGGACCCTCCCCAAAACAGCACCCACACCCCACTCTGTGTCCCTTCACCCTGCTTTATCTTTCTCCCAGCAGTGGTCATCCCCTACCACATGTTTCAGTGGAACCTCGGTTCTCTAACTTAATTTGTTCCAGAAGGTGGTTTGAGCAGCAGATTGTACAAAAACCAAATCATACAGGGAAGATCATACAGGTATCAGCAGGAAAGGGTTGTCCAGTTGAGAGCCCAAGTCCAATAACCAAGACTTTCTTTTCCTGTGAGCACCTTGTTCGAGGCTGGGAGATGTTCGAGAACAGAGGTTTGACTGTGTTTCTTGTCTGTCTCCCTGCTGCCATGCAAAGGCAAGAACTGGACGATGTCTGCTCTGTTCGCTGCTCTGTTCACTGCCACAAAGAATGTAGCACAGAACTACCGTATTTTGCCGTGTATAATGTGCACCACATTTTTGGCCCAAACTTTCAGGGGAAAAAAATCTTTTATTTGAATTTTTAATTCAGTGATTTATTTATTTCTATGTAGATACTTGTTTTTGTATTATAAAGAAACTGTAGCATTTATTTTTGAACCTATGACAGTACAAGAAATGTGATGTAACAAATAATTACAAAACACAAGAACAGATACAAGATATTGCGGGTGCTACTCATGTATAATGCGCATCCTTATTTTTCCCCTGGACATGTGAGCCAAAAAGTGTGCGTTGTACACAGCAAAATACGTACCTGTTCTTGTGAACACTGACCTCCAATTCCTGAATCTCTCCACTCTGCCCCTCTCCTTGGCGACCTTCCAGTCTTCGTCCCCACCCCGTCCTTTGCCAGTATCCTCAGTTACTCTGCTTTCCATCAAATCTGTTGGAAGGCTCTCCTGCTGGATGCATTCCATGGCCCACTTTTCCTGTGAGGTGCCTCACTGTGATGTCCACTAGAGAAAGTCCATCACCAAGCAGACCTTGTCACCTCCGGGTCCTGAAGCCAGCACAGGTCTCATTTTAGTAAACCCTTTCTTTAGCTTCCCTCCCCACCCACCCAACAGAGCCTGCCATCACAACACAGAGGCCACGCGGGATCCAGGCACCACACTGACAAGTCTGCACGTTCTCTGCAGCCATCCAGGCTGCACGAGGGAAAAGGGGTCCTTCCCGGTTCTGGGTCTTCCCACCTGGGTTACAGCCCCTCCCTCTCCACAGTACAAATCCTGACCCCAAGTCTCCATCAGCTGCGAGCCCCTCGCCTCACCTTCAGACTCGAGGAACCCCACTCCATCCCCATGTTCCCGGGGCTGTTCACTCACACCTCCTTGCAGCGACACGGAAAGGGCCTTCTTCTCAGCGCGGCCTTATCGCGTCTCTCCAGGATCGTTCACCCTGGGACCCTCCCCCTGCAGCAAACGCCCTCCCCATGTCTTCTGCGGGGTTCTCCCGCTCCCACTTGCCCTGGCTGGTTCCACTAGTCCACGAGCTCCGGAAGCCCTTCCGACCCCACCAGGGGCGGCAAGTGCGCCCGCGGGCCACCAGCACCCGGCGTCCACTTGGTTTCCCGGACTCCTGTACCCAAGAGCGGGGACCGCCCGGGCCTCCGAGTTGCTGGCTGTCTCCCCCGTCCCGGCACGGAGCGCGGCACACAGCAGCAGATAATAAAGGTGACCTAAGTGTACAAATGCGTACCGACTGGACCTGGCGCCGTCTTCACCCGGGATAAGTGCTACTCTGGGCTGCCGGACCTGACCAGGAAACGCGCCCGCTTCCTGCACAGCTGGCACTGGAACGGGTGCCTGGGCCACTGAGACCGCAGACTCGCCGGGCGCCAGGGGTGCCGCGGGGTCGCCCCCCCGCGGACGGCTCCCACCTGGAACCCGGTATCCCCCCTCCACTCTGGCGGCCAAACTACGGCCGGGTCCCCGCCTCCGCCGCTGTCCGGCCGGCGACCAGGAGACCCAGAGTGTCAGTGCGGGCTCCCGACCCTGATCGCCGCTGAGGCGACTCACCCCGTGTAGGTGGAAGCCCTCGGAAGTCTCCGCGGGCTGCTCGGTGCTGGACCCCAGCCCCATAGCAGCGGCCCGGCTCCCGCGCCGGCGTCCTGAACCGCAGCGCAAACCCGGCCCCACCAGCGCGGACTCGCCCTCTCGGCGCTCAATTACCAGCGCCTTGTCACGTGGGCACCTTGCCACGCCCACCCTGGAGTCTGACGCTCTTAGCAACCGGCCGGCAGCTCCGTCTCCAAGGACGCGCGCGCCTCCAACTTCCGGCCGCGAGAGGCGTGCCCTGGACCCCGATTCAGGAATCCGGCCCTGCTCTGCCGACCAGATTCGGACTCCGAGCCGGGAGCTCCCGGAGATGAGCAGCAATGACTCCTCCCTTATGGTGCGTGGCCCTGGCGCTGCCCCGCCGCTCCCGTTGGGACTCTCCGCCCCTGGCCCGGCGACCCCCGCGCCTTGCTGTTCTCTTTGCTGCCTCTCGGACCGCTCCTCTTTACCCGCCTTTCGCTTATCCTGTGCCGCTACAGGCGGTCCTGGTTCCTTCCTGCCTCACTGCCCCTGGCGAGTGCATCCTTTCTGGTCCTCACCCCCAAATCAGTATCCCCACGCAGTCCTGTCCCCAAGCTTTCCCAAACCGACGCACCCAAACCCATATCCATCATCTTTTCATCATCTCCTCTTCCCCTACCTGTGCCTCTTCCATGTCCCCCACCTCAGTAGGAGGCACCACTTGACCCCCCAGCTTTACCGTTTCCTCATACCTAAGCCCCCATCCTATCTATCAGCAAGAAAGGTCAGCTCCCAAATGTCTCCTGAGATCACCCACTTCTTTTATCTCCTAATCCCACATCACCGCCATCTCTCCCCTGGGCACCTGTAACAGTCCCCCTCTCAGCTGGTATGGCTACTTCAGCTCTCTTTACCAGCAGTACCTCCTACCCATACCCACCTACACACACACACACAGCCACCGGAGTGAGTTTTGCAAAGAACATATCTGACTACATCCCTCCCCTGCTTAAAATCATTCCACCTGCTTCTGATTACCCTCCGGATGATGTCTGGGCCCTTTCACATGGCCTACAAGGCTGTTACAATCCACCGACATCTGTCTCCAACCCCAGTACCCACAAACCTTAGGGGAAGTAAGACTCACACTTTGAAATCTCAGACTCTGTTACTTTGTGACCTTTGTCAAGCCACAGTCTCCATGGCTTTCAGCTCACTTCACTGGGAAGGATATGTAGAGAATAATACAGAAGATAATGGATGTAAAGCGCTGCGTACAGTTTCCAGCAGGTGGTTAGCCCACAATAAGTTGTAAATAACTATTGATGTAATTATTCTTATTACTAGTTCTCTCTCTTTCCCCTTAGTTCCTTCCTAAGACAGCTTGAGTTGAATATTCCATATTCGAACCAGAATCTGTGGACAATTCCAAAACAAACACCTCCAAACTCCTTCCCTGGGGGAAACTTCGTGGAGTCACTCCTGGGGCTGGTGAAGAGGTTGAGACTTGAATGTTCTCTTCCTTTTTCTTGTACAGAAATGAGGATGAAGAAACAGGGGAGGGAGTGGGTCAAGCAGAGACAGGGAAGGGCCACTGCAACCATGTCTTCTCTTTCACAGGCTGGGATCATTTACTACAGCCAGGAAAAGTACTTCCACCATGTGCAGCAGGCTGCGGCTAGAGGCCTGGAAAAATTCAGCAATGACCCTGTGCTGCAGTTCTTTAAAGCCTATGGCGTCTTCAGGGAAGGTAAGGACTGGTCAGTGTTGGCCTCCTGACTTGGGCACCAGTCCAGCACTAATACCGACTCTACCTAGATGCCCACTTCTACCCCAGCCATGGAAACAGTCTTACACTCAGTGCCTAATCCCCAGGTGAAGCCACAGAAGCCTGTGCAATTCATATCTAGTTGACTTTGAGACCTCAGTGGGATCACCATGGTAGCTTTGCACCTCAGTTTCCCCGTCTGGACAGAGAGATGGCTGCATGATTATTGGGCTGATCCCAGGCTTGGAAGCTGAGAGCTGGTAGTGCAGGAAAAGGAGGAAGCAGTGGGTGTGGGTACCTGCAGATATGGTGCAGGAGCAGGGAGAGGAGCGGGGCCCATGCCGGTGCTGACTCATTACCATTTAGAAGGTGGTTCTGGGCTAGGGATGGACTGAGCTGCCTGTGGCCACCATTGGTGGACATGGAGGGATCAATGTAATCACTGGCTCTTGAGCAACTAGCTGGAAATACCCTGAGGTCCTTCTTCAAAACTGACCCAAGTCAAAAATCTCAGCCTCGCAAGAATTCCTGTGAGTACTCACGAGTACATCCTGAGCTCCAAACCCTCCAGCCCTGACAGTCTGGACCATGGTGTCAGCCGCCTTTTCAAGGAGCTTCAGCCTCAGGGACCTCAGGCCACTGGGGAACTTTTGGACCAGTTAGTCCTCTGATTCTGGGTGAAGCCAGGTGATGCCAAGCCTTGGGTCAGCCCTAATAAGAGCCCCCACGTATATGCCGTGGAGCCTGGAGCCCAAGAGCATAATCACGTGCTCTCTCTTTGCAGAGCACATCCAGGATGCCATCAGCAGCCTGGAGAGCATTCGGAATCACCCCGATGTGTCCCTGTGCTCCATCATGGCCCTCATTTATGCTCACAAGTACTGTGAAACCATCGGTGAGTGCTGCCATGCTCAGCTGGGCCTGGTCCCACCAGGGACAGATGGTCCTGTTCCAGAGACACTGCCCCTCCAGGGCTGCAGATGGCGGTGTGTGCCCTGGTGACTGCAGGTTCTGTTGGCCCCTGAGGAGTGGCTGCTGTTCCCCACCCGTGCAAGGCCTCTCCATGCCCAGGCCCCATTGAGAGAGCACAGCAGTGGGAGGGGTCCTCCTTCCAGAGCCCAGGAGTTGGGGAGATACCCCGGCTTTCCTTTGCCAAGATATTGTCAGAAAAAATCAAGCTGATATAAATAATTCCATTGCTAATCTCCAGGAAGTTCCATAGCTAACCTTCTCTAGGAAGGTTCCAAGAGACCACAAACTACTATTTCCCCAACCAAAATGAATCCTGGGGCGGGGGATTCAGCCTCGGTCTGTGTGCTCGGCATGTTGCTGGGCTCCGAGGGAAAAAGATAAACCTCTGACAGCCAGCCCGAGACGAGGCCCGGGCCTCTGGTGTGGCGCCCTCAAGTGCCTCCTGCGGGACCAGGCCCACCTCCTCGCCCTCACTTGTCCTCTTCTCCCGTCTTGGACTCCCAGACCTAGAAGCGGTTCAGGAGCTCGAGAGCAGCCTGAAGGAAATCCGCAAGACGGCCAGCGGGACTGCCCTGTACTACGCTGGCCTCTTCCTCTGGCTCATGGGCCGCCACGACAGGGCCAAGGAGTACATCGACCGCATGCTGAAGCTCTCCAGTAGCTCCAGAGAGGTACTCCCCACGGGCATTGTGGGGCCGCAGCCAGAGAAAGCAGCGTCCCGACACACCCTCTCGGGGTGGCTGGTCCTCTCATGAGGGCCGTGGGAGCAGGGGAAGGCCCCACCCCGGCACTGGCGAGATCCTGAGTCTCAAGGTGTCCCCATCCATGTTGTCTCAAGGTTTAGCTCAGTACACAGTGGCATTTGTCCAGAGTCCCATCTGCAGGCAGATGTCCTGTACTATAGATTCTAAAAATCTTGAATTCTTTGCTAACATTTAGAAACCAAAAGATTTTTACCTTAGCCCTGGCTGGTATAGCTCACTGGATTGAGCACGGGCCTGTGAAGCAAAGGGTCGCTGGTTCCATTCCTAGTCAGGGCACATGCCTGGGTTGCAGGCCACGTCCCCAGTGGGGGGCATATGAGAGACAACCACACATTGATGTTTCTCTTTCTTTCTCCCTCATTTCCCTTCTCTCTAAAAATAAATAAATAAAATCTAAAAAAAAAGATTTCTACCTCAAAGTCAAGGCTTCCTGTTTTGGGGGTTTTTTCTGGGGGGTTGTTTTTTTGTTTTTTTTTTTTAACTAAATGAACCAAGCGCACTGGGCCTGCATCTGCTCCTTGCAGTGATCTGCTGGATAGCCAGTGCCGATACACCCTGCATCCCCGTGCAGAGATCTGCCCTAGGGACAGAAATTCTTTTTGTTTGTTTAGATTTTATTTCTCTATTTTTTAGAGAGAGAGGAAGGGAGGGAAAAATAGAGGAAGAGAAACATCCATCCGTTGCCTCTCACACGCCCCCTACTGGGGACCTGACCCACAACCCAGGCATGTGCCCTGACTGGGAGTTGAACTGGCAACTTTTGGGTTCACAGGCCAGTGCTCAGTCTACTGAGCCACATCAGCCAGGGCCTAGGGGCAGAATCTGAAGCCCCAGTCTGGGCTATGTGGGTTCAGCAAGGGTGATATCACACTCCCCGCCCCCCGCGCACACACACACAGTGGAGTGAAAATTGGTTCTAGGAAGAGGGGCTGAAAAATCTTACTCTTTATGTATAAAACACAGATAAATGTACCACACGTACACAGTATGTCCATGATATTGAAATTTCTTGAATGGGGAGGGAATGAATGATTAGGGGGAAATGTCTGCAAAGGCTCCTGGGAGCGTAGTAATGGAGAGCTGAGAAACACTGGTCGGGGCTGAGAGGGATGCTTCAGGGCAGGCCCTCCCCACGGCTGCGCCCATCTTCCCTCCCACACCTGCCTGCCCCATCTGCCAGGAGAGGCTGGGTGAGAGCGACAGGAGAACCGGCACGGCCAAGGCCAGTGACCTCAGAATGGCTCCTGCTCACCTGCTTAGAGGGTGTGCCCAGCTTCACCTGCAGAGAGCAAGAGCCGCCCTGTGCCCTGGCACCACCCATGTTGGCCTCCTGAGCCCAGTGGGAAGTAAAGAGGCAGTGACGAGACTAGACAGATGAGCAAGAACACCTAGGACAGCTGTGGGGAGTCACAGGGAGGGCCCAACCCCAGGCTGAGGGTTGTAGACTAGTGGCAGCCAGTCAGGGGAAGGGATTTGGTTTGGCGGGGCATTCCAGGCCGAGGAACAATGGGACGGAAGGCCTGCAGCAAGAGCCACAGGACTGCCTGGGATCTGCATACAGCTGAGCTGGCAGGGCCTCGGGTGTGCAGTGACAGCTGGTGAGACATGAGGCAGGTTTTGCAGGACCGTGGACTTCAT